GTGGTGGGTTGTAAGGACTCTCTGGAGTCTGTGGTTCAAAAGCACAGGGTGCAAATAGGAGGAATGGTGGGAATGGGTGGAAATGATACCCCAGTGCTCACTGAGTGTTCTCCCCTTATTTGCTGTCTATTGGAAAGATCTTTGATCTTGCATTTTCTGCAGGAAGCAGTGCTGTCAACATGTATCCAGTGCAGCATTTAATGGACTGGACCTCTTGAAATAGGTAGAAGAATGCCTAGATTATGGTTGTGGGTTCTCAAGGAGCTTTGGTCATTGCTGGGAGAGAAAGAAACATTCAAACACTAACAGTGGTTCAGCTGAACAGAAGCTTGTTTCAACTATGTAATTATACTTCAGAAGTAAAAGGTACAGTTGCAGACTGCTTGTGTGTCATTGAAGGTCCCAGATTTCACTTATCCTTGTAATTGCTAGAAGTGTGCATCCAGTCATTTACACAGACCAGGAATGTGCACCCCAGAGTTTGCCCAGCAGTGATGTGACTGGCAGTAGTCACTTATATGCACTTAATAGGGGAGTCTGAAGTTGCTGAAGCTACATTAGGTTTGAGAATTGCTGTCTTAGGCTTAATCATCCAAATAATTCTGTGAATGTGAGCTTGATGTCTGCTGCTTGCTACTGATCTCTTTGTCTTTCCTTTGTACTGCAGTGATTTGTGAGAATTATTTACGGGGTGTGGACATGTAGAGTCTTCTCTAGTGGTGATCCTTTTAAGTCTCAATAGGCCATTACATTTACTTGGCAGTAAAACTTCACACATCTATTGTGTGAACTCTTGACCTTGAATTTGGAAATTTTGGGTAGAATCTGTATGAAGTTTGACCTTATCTTTAGGTTTTGCTTTCAATCTCTGGAAGTAATTTTATAAAAATGAAGCTGAAGTTAAAATAGTGAAATGCTGCTATAGAAGTTCAATTAGCTCAGTGATTCAAGGCTGAAAAATAGCAAGCCACATCTAAATGCAGTGTTAAAACCACTGCAGTTGTACATTTGAATATTGTTGTGACAGATCTAGTAACACTCTATTTTTATTGTTCCTTTATTTTCAACAAATACAGAACCTATATGGTCAAAGCAAATGTCTGTCTTGCACATGGCACTAATAACAATGCTGCCTTTGTATATACAGAAATACAGCTTGAATTGCTTCAGTGCAACAACATACTTTATGCTCTGCATCTTACAGGTGCAGATCTTTCATGGAAGAAAGATGAAACATGTTTTAGAAAGGTACATGGGGTGTGAATTCTTGTGTAACACGGCCTCTAGAAAGTCCACCCAGGTCAGACCTGTGTGTTGATTGCATGCTCCTATTGTAAAGAGTCCTTTTTAAGTCTGGTCTAATAGTCAGAAATCTTCTACATGCAGGTTTATCATCATCACCTTTCTAGAAATGGAGCAGTGTAAAGGGCCATAGAATGGTGTGGGTTGGGAGGGACCTTTACTATCATCTAGTTCCATGCTCCTGCCATGAACAAGGACACCCTCCACTAGAGCTGGTCACTCAGGGCCCCATCCAGCCTGGCTGTGAACACTTCCCGGGATGGGGCATTCCGCAACTTCCCTGGGTGAACTGTGCCAGTGCCTTGCCACCCTCATGTAAACAATTTCTTCCATATATCTAGTCTAAATGTGCCCTTTCAATGTGAGCCTATTACTCCTTGTCTTGCCACTACAGTTCCTGATGAACAGTTGCTCTCTGGCTTCCTTGTATGCCCTTCAGATACTGCTGCTATGAGGTCTTCGTGCAACTTGCTCTTCTCCAGGCTGAGCAACCCCAGCTCTGTCAGCCTGTCTTTGTAGATGAGGTGCCCAGACCCCTTATCAACTTCATGTCCCTGCTCTGGACTTGCTCCAGCAGTTCCACGTCCTCCTTATGCTGTGGGCACCAGAAATGTGCCCAGCACTTGGGGTGGGGGCTCATGAGGGCAGAGTGGAGGAGGAGGAGGAGGATCCCCTCCCCTGACCTGCTGGTTACACTCCATTTGATGCAGCCCAGGATACATTTGGCTTTTTGGGCTGCTAGCTCACACTGCTGCCTCATAGTAAGTTTTTCATCAGCCATCACCCCCAAGTCCTTCTCCTCAGGGCTGCTCTCAGTCACCTCTCTGCACAGCCTCTGGGTGTGTTTGGCATTGTCTCAGGTGTAGGACCTTGCACTTTGCTTTGTTGAACTTCATGAGGTCACACAGCCACACCTCTCCAGCTGTCAGTGTCCCTCAGGATGGCATCTTTTCCGTCCAACATGTTGACAGCACCCGCAGCTTGTTGTCATCAGCAGACTTGCTGAGGATGCTCTCCATCCCACAGGATTCCCACCCTCAGCAAGGTGGAGTGACTTGGGATGAAACCGTCAGTGTTTCAATATTTTTTAAAAATTACAGTTAACACTTGAAATGACAATTTCAAATATTTGTTGACCAGAATATTAGCCTGAGAAGACTTCTGTGCTAAAATAATTGTAGGATGATTTTGTGAATTATAGCCTGAATTAACAGTCTGCATTTGCCTTTTAGGTACTTATGCAGTTGAGGGTCTGCAACTTGTTTTCCTAAGCCACTGGTGCACTATGTCACACTTCGGCAAAGCAGCAGCATGGAACTTTGAGTATGAAGCTTTGAGGACTTCTCCCAAGTACTAGATTGATGTGCTTGCTACCTGAGTAGTTGCTCTTACTTCTTACTAGGAAAAGGCAGTGAGGTGTTTCTGCATTTGCCTGTGAATAGTGTGTATGTTAATCTGAAAGCCTTGAACTGTGTAGTTAATTGCCTATTGATTTTGTGAGGTGTAATAAGTAATTGGCGTGGTGCATTCCAGAGTAACTTTTATCAGGGTAAAATTAAGCAACTCTATAGAAGACCTTTGGTCTCTTAATTGTACCTGAAATACGTTTCCATGCTGAGAGGAGCTTTTTTGTAAAATGTAGAATTGCCCTAGTGGTTATAATAAAGTTTATTCAGAGTGTTTGAGTGAACACTTTAATTGAAAAGTAGAGAATGCTGTATTTGAGAGATGCACATCCTTGTGATTTGAACAAGGCAGGTGCTGTGTCCTGCACTTGGGTCACAGCCCCATGCTTTGCTACTGGCTTTGGGGAGACTGGCTGGAATGGGGCCCAGGGGAAAAGGACCTGGGGGGGCTGATTGACAGCAGCTGAAAGTGGCCAAGGAGGCCCGTGTCACCCTGGCCTGTATCAGCAATAGCGTGGCCAGCAGGAGCAGGGCAGTGGCTGTCCCCTGCACTGGGCACTGGTGAGGCCATGAAACAATTGGATGTGGTGCTTTGTGCCCTGGTCTAGTTGACATGGTCAGTTAAAGGCTAGACTCAGTGATCTTCAAAATCTTTTCCAACCTAAATGGTTTTATGATTCTGTGACTTGTGATTTGTCTTTTCAGAGAAGCTCTCAGTTGTTTCTAATATTTCTGAACATCATATAAACAATATAATTTGTAAATCTGATTTGTTTGATCTGTTACATGGAATTTGTTTAGTGAAGTAGCTCTTGAACATCTTAGAGCAGACCTTAACTGAAAAAAACAAGAGCTGAGAACCCAGCACAAGAATATTTTTATAAAATAAGCAACCTGTTGATAGTTTTGTGCAGGTGATACCTGGAGCCTGTCCTTCCCTTCCACCCTCCACTGTGTGCACCAAGTCAAATAGCACGCTACAAAATTACATGTGCCCCTGTGTGTACCAGACTTAGCTTGCCTGTCTCTGGAGAGAAGGAATTCAGGCTGAAGTCAGGGTTTTTTGGAGTCCCTGATTAGGAGGAAAATTGGAAGTCTTAATTAAGTCCTTGACACAGGGTAATGTATTTGATAACAATGATAATATTACAAATCAGCAGTTTCAGATTTGTGGTTCTGGGACTCCATTAACCTTTGGGTCATTTTAACAAAATGTATATGGCTTTTGATTAAGAGCAGGTAAAACCAGAAGGCAGCAAAACATTTAAATGGTGTGATTTAAATCTGAAATCTCTCAAATCTGAAATTACAGACTGATGTGTAAAGGAAACTGCTAGACACAGTCTTGTCATATAAAAACTTCCAAACTGGATCTTCAGTTCAGTACATAAAGAAAAAAATCTTGCCTTATGTGTCATCCTGCTGGGAAATTAAATGCAGTAGTCTAATTTGGGCTCTTTTTGTAGGTCATTTGGTGGGGCAAATAGGGCACGTCAGCAAAGATCAGTCAGTGCTTTTTGTTTTGATAATCTTTACTGAGGGCACAGTTGAAGGAATTTGGAGAAGATCAGTGATGTTATGAGCATCTTCATTCTCACTTCCTGTTTTTCCTTTCTGGAGAAATACAAAGCGCACCACTTGAGATTCAGAAACTGGTTAATTTGATGTTTAGTCAGAAGACAACTTTGTGCAGTTAATATTTGTTGTTGAATTTTTGACAATACATCAGAGATACCAGGGCAGGCTTTCTTTAAGAGTGGTAGGAATAAAGTCAGTAACTTCATCTCTTTACTACCTTCAGCTGCATACTTAAAAATGGGCTCATAATAATAAAACTTCCCTACAGGAAATAATTCAGGTAGGAAAGAACAGTTTCATATGAAACTGGGCAGCTTTATAATGTATAAATACATTAATAAACTGAATTACAGTGTTATATGCTAATCCTACCCTTGAACCGTCTGAGGTAAAATATTTTCCTATGTCTGTGGCATGTTTTAAAGATAATCAAGGAACATATTAATATGATTTTATATCTTGAATTGTTATTTACATTTTCTTCTTTACATTCACTTCTTTATGAGATGTAGTCTGTGTATTACAACTTAACTGACATTGTCTGTAACACTGCTCCTGTGATAATTTAAATATTAAAATAGGCTATTCCTTCTTGAGTTATTCTGTGAATGGTGTTTCCAAACTCAGTAATGATATTTTTTATAGTGTAAAATAAAAGTCAGTTTACAACTTTCAGTTATTATGACTTGTTAATTTTGTTTTTATATACTGTAGGATATGTTTTGGAGTTGCAGACAGAGTATCTTTGCTGAAATGAAGAAGAAGTTTTCACAGGTAGACAGATGAAATCAGCTTTATAAAATGATAACCAAGAAACATAGTAACAGCATGATGCTGTAGCTTCTGTTTATTTTAACATAAGCATGAGCTATTGACACTGAACTCTGTGCATGTTCTTGAATACAAAGATGATGTACATATTAAATTCAGTCTTAATGGTAGCTTCAAGCTGAGTATGTGTTGATATGCTTTTACCCTGGTGTGTGAGGCTTTGGCTCTCTCTGTCTCTGCAGTAAAAAAAGGAATTGTTTTGCTCTCATAATATATCAGATTATATAATGGTTTAAATTAATTTCTGTGTTTCTGTTGTGGATTTGGTTTGATAACAGCCTGTAAGAATAACTGAAGGATCTATCACCGGCCAGTCTTGCTTTTCACACTATTTCTGTAATAAAGCCCCAGACAAGGTGTTGGATTGTTGTCTCCTAGTTCAGCTGGTGTGTGTGAATGCTCTTCGTGAGCAGAGTTGGGCTGAGGTTATTTTTGCTTTATCTATTTACTACTAACAGCTTGAAGTGGTGACAGTGTGAATGAATGACAGCTTAATACCCTTTGCTATACTGACCCTGAGTTAAACCAGTTCAGTCTGTCGGAATTACATCTGTGAACAAGGAGAGGATTTGTGTGACGTGCAACATCCAGCAACCCAACCAGCAAATCTTCTGGAATCGTCTATAATCTCTTCCCTTAATGTTATTTCCATCCCTCAGATACTGTGTGCCTAATTATTTCCAGTAGCAACTCTAATGCAAGTCACAACTTACTCACCATCCAGGGTACCAGGGAAAGTGGGAGTGGGAGGAGTTCACTTCCCAGGGAACTCCTGCAGAAAGGAGGGGAGTCAGTGTTGGTTATGTAAAGACAGTAGCGCAAGGAATTGAGTCTCCAGTGGAGAACTGCTCGTGACATGATTATACACAGTAGCCATCAAGTTACAGCATCAATATGAATAGTATATTTACTATGAATAGTAGTAAATGCCTCTGAACCCCCCTGCTGCAGTGTTCTGCAGAGGAGGATGGGCTCCCACCCAGAGCAAGCCTTACCATTGCTGAGGCGCCTGCATGTAGATATGGGTTGATCTTACAAGTTTGTTGGGTCTTAGCTCCTGCTCACCTTCTCAAAAAAAAATCAAAAAAGGAGACCACTGAACAAGCTTTACCTTCTCTTTCCTAACCACGCAGTGAAAATGAGAACTTGCTTCTTCAGCAAAAAAGGAAAAAAAATCCAAAAAACCCAACAAAAACAAAAGAAAGATGCCGTGCTGGAAATTTCAAGGGAAGAGCCCAAGAGAAGAAATCACTGGTGAAATTTAATTTTAGTCTACTTAAGTACAGCCCTGTATGTCTCTGTGGGTGCTGTAGATGAAAGTGAGGATATAATATGTCAAAATTACTTTCACTTCCAATCTCTATTTTCTTCTTAATGTGTGGTTAATGTTTCAGAAATAGTTTTGTGTGTCTTCTTGGAAAGTAATTCATGTAAAATCCTCCCATAAAGATGAAATGTATGAATTGTTACAGATTTGCTTCAAATAACACTTTGAATCTTTTTGAGCATGCAGTTAATGAAGTCTTCCACGCAGGATATTTCATTTGATAAGCCTAAAGAAATTGGACTCCAAAGTCTTTAAAAAATCCGAGTCAAAAGCAAACTAACATCATACAGATTGGGTCGAGGGTGGTTTTATTCGCCTTCCTCTAACAACTTTTTTGTGATGCTGATAGGAATAGATGCTGCAGTGAGCTCACATTTTATTCTATCCCTGTGTGAATACTGCCAGCAGATCTTGCAATCCCCTGCAATGAAGGCATGCAGCATCAGCTGGAATGTCTGTGTTCCTTTTCCAAGGGTTTGGTGATGTAAGAGCTCTCAAAAGGGGCTGTACCACTTTGGTGGTGCTCATCTGTGTTGTGAGGCTGGTTGTGTAGAAATACAGGGGATTCTACACAGTCTGAACATGTTCAGATCTTCTTTGTAGTTCTCTATTCTCTAGAAGCTGCTTGTGATGTGGCTGAGAGTTTGAGCATGAACGTAATTATTGCCATTTGTTGTTCTTATCCACTGAGAATTATGATAGCACCGCATGTGGTTTTCTGCCTTTTTGGATGCTGTGGCCTTTAGCCATGGACTGACATTTGGGCACTCTGGCAATGCATTACTAATGCTTCCGTGTGTTACAGCTTGAAAAGGCTGAGTCCCTGAAGGACTAATTCCTTTTACTTGCCTGATCCTTTCCTATGAGATGTGTATTTAAATATCAGTTATTCTTGTTCTGCAGTTTTGGATAATTAAGATAATTAATTGATTATGCTTAGATTTTTGACTTCCTCAGTTTTCAGTGTTGGAAAATTCTGGTCTTTTTGACTTACCTGGGTCCCGAAACTTTTATTATTATTCCATTATCACTTTCATTCAGGATCATTATTGTTCTGATTTCAGATATATTGAAGTTTCTATAGAAACTCTCTTTACTTTGTCTGGTAGCCATTTGTCAGTGCTAATTTTCTTACTTGAATCAGGTGGCTTGATTATGAAACTTTTTGTTTAGTGGTCAGATTCCAAGGTTACTTGGAAGCTTGCGCATTTTCCGGGTTGCATTCCTGAAAGTCACAAAAGGTATATTCTGCCTCAGCAAGACTTATGATTGTGTCAAAGATGAAGTGATGATTTGGAAGTCTGTTCCTGATTTTGAAGGAGTCTCCTATGTGCTTGCTAGCTGAAATTCTATGTGGAACCTGAGTGGTTTCTCTGTCCCCACACCAGAACAAATTCCTTCTTGTTCTATAAAAATGAAGCTTGTTTTTATAGATTTTTCAAAACTGGAAAGTTCTTCATTTTCTCATGTTCACGTCAGAAAATAAAGCCCAGTTTTAGGAACCTTAGTTTTTAAAAGTATTCTACATTTTATTGGTGAAGTCTTGTTTTGATTTTTCAGTTAAACTCCTAAATGTTCCTACTTTTGCTCCTGAATTGTTGTGTGCTGTCATTGCAGGCAGAATGTGCTGCTGAGGAGCCCAGGGTGCTGTGCATAATACAGGACACCACGAATGCCAAGACGGTGAACGAGCGCGTTACCCTGAACCTGCCAGCCTCCACCCCGCTCAAACGGCTCTTTGAAGACGTGGCTGCCAAAGTGGGCTACGTGAACGGCTCCTTTGATCTGATGTGGGGCAATGGAGACAGTGTCACTGACACGGTAGGGCAGCTGAGTTTTCTGCTTCCTCTGCCTAGCCAGCACTTCACAGTATAGAGAACCTCCTTCTGTCTTGCATGGTGCTGTTTAATTCCTGTTACATTTTGTACTGGGTGCGCCGCAGCAGGCTGATGCCACTCTGTTGATTTGGCTGGATTTTAGTCTCAAAGTGTGCTCTTTAATGATACATCTGTTTAATCATTAAACAAAAACTAATGTGATCATTCAGATGCAATATTAGTTTTTGTTATCACTATGTATTTTTAATAATAATACCCATGATAAATAGTCTCAATTTCCTGTAGTCTTGTTTGAGAAATGTTTTCTTCTCAGCAGCAGCATGTTGTGTAGTGAGTCCTGATGTTTCTTAGACCTATTTGAATATATTATATTTTTAAAAATTATTTATATCACTCCTATGCTTTATTGTAAATCAGTGTTGATTTTAGTTAATATTATTTCTATAGATGCACCTAGAAAACTTTCTAAGATTTGTTAAGAAGTAGTCGTTAGTTTATTTCAGGTCATGTTTATGCCTGCTGAAAGTAATTTTTTTTTCTTCTTTTAAAGAAGAAAAGTGTCTGCATGCTGTAGATTGATTACTCTGGGTAATGTAATGTTCACAAGAAACTTATGGTGTTTGGCTCCTGAATAGATTAACCAAGTGTTAAGATTAACTAACTGCATTAGACTGTAGTGTTTCTTAAACTGTTTCCAAGTTATTTCAGTACTGATGATGTATGTTTTGTTTACTGGATAATTTTTTATTTTCATGTGGTTTTGCTGTGTCAGAAACCACATCAAGCAATGTACTTGGATGGAATCTGTTAATTGCATATAGATCTGTTTCTAAAAAGTGTTGTTTCTGTTGTTTTACTCTTTTTTAGCAGACTCCAATAGATCAGAACAGTGACAAAACCATTGTGGATGCTGGTTTTGAGCCAGGGAAGAAGAACTTTCTGCATTTGACAGACAAGGATGGTGAGCAGCCTCACATAATGCAGGTAAAATCTTCACTCAGCTACGTAAGCCATTGTTGTGGGAGAGGTGTGTATTCTTTGTAGTGCTTGTGTAAGATCAGAACATGAAGTAAAACTGGGCTGAGTATTTCATCCTAAGCTTCTTTGGGAACCTTCTCAACAGACTTTTAACTGTATTTACATCTATGTTCACATTTCTCCTGAGTGGTACTAATTCCCTTAGTAATGATTTGCTGTCACTCTGTTCATGCTCGTCGATATTTATGTGATGTTTGCTGCAAGCAATTTTCTAAGGTTATATAATTAATTAAGCTTTGACACATTCAGAGATAAGTCTTAACAATACATATTTAATCATATATCCAATCCCTTTTCTCTGGTTGTTTGAAAGCAATGTTAGGACTTTCTGGCAGAATTCTCAGAAAAGGCAGCCTTGCACTGACAGCAGTGAGCTGCTTCCACATTTATTTTTATGGAAAAATGAATAAATAAATAAATATAAAAGAAGAGTTGGCATTGTTGCTAGAAGCCACTGTTTGCCATAACAAATATTTGAAATTTTCTGTTTCTCAAATACATGATGCACACAGCTGCAATATACTCAAATCAAAGACTGGATAGACTAGGGGTATATTAATATTTATTACTTAGCTCTTGTATCAGCTTAATGCTGGCTTACTTAGCCTTTGTTGTGGAGTTTAATTACATGAAAAAGGGTAAAAAAACCCCATGTGTAAATAATTGTGCTCAAGATCAGAATTTAAGAATGGTTCTGATAGAGTAATGGAGTGAAATTTGTATGTCTGGAAAAAATCTTACTCTGTATTGTAGTGCAGAAAACTTGAGGCAAATGAGATGCTGAATTGCCAACTTGCTTGCTGTGTCCATTGTAATAGTGTATTTGGTTGTGCAGTGTTCCAAAGGACCTGTCTTTCTGCCAGTGCTAAAGAACAATGTGTCAAGGCTTGAGAATTTGGAAGGCAGAACTAAAGTTACACTGTGTATCTGCAATGTTGAAAATACTGGGTGATGTGCCTAGCAAAATCGGTTTCTTAGCCGTGAGAGAAAAGTAGATCTCGTAGGTACTTCAGTAAAAATGTGTTGTCTAACTTGTGCTTATGATGGGTGTGTTTGTGTTTCCAGGAGGAGTCAGGTACAGCAGAGGACGGTGCACAGGAGAGATTTATAGGCCCCCTTCCAAGAGAGGGCTCCATTGGATGTACCCATGACTATGTCAGTCAAAGCTATTCTTACTCTTCAGTCCTGAGCAAATCAGAGACAGGTATTTTGTTCTCTCTTGTAAAGGCAGTGCTAGTTTGTAATAATTTTAGCACATTTTCAAATAGCAGCACCTCCGGATTTTTTTTTAATAAATTGCAATTTATTTTACAAATACCCACATCACTGTTACATTTTTTATTCATGTTTTTTATGATATTCTCTCATCACTTTAGAAATGAAGAACTGTGTTCCGTCCTTTCCTTACTTGGGACAGAGTAATTCAGAATCTGTCAGGGTCCTCCTTTGAAGTGTTGGTGTGCTGCTCATCCCTAGTTCATTGTAGGGCTGGATTGGCGGCGTGCCCAGCTCCAGCTGTGTTCACTCCCAGCTGAAGGAGAACTGGATACTCTGTTACTGGAGGGGTTCCTGCCCCATCTCTTCTCTGCTTGGCATGGGAATTCCTGCCAGGGGCTGCAGGTTTCTCTGCCTCCAGGAGGATTCCCCGAGAGGCTCCTCCTGCATCCCCCAGCCAGCAGACACCCTGGGGAGGGGAGTGCCTGGGGTTCTGGGAGGCTGCCCAGCAGGGCAGGAGGAGACTGCAAATTACAGCGGTGAGGAGGGTAAAGGTACTGAGCAGCCACAAAGCTGACACTCGTGTTGCACTGCTTCTCACCTGGTTAAGGCTTTTTTGGCAAATAAGAAAGTTTATGTGCCTTTTTGTCATTAATAAAACTGAAAAGACGATTTATCTAGTGTAGAGTAATAAATAAAAGTACAAAGGTTCTGATTCAGTCTCTTCACAGAAAATGCCTGTGTGTGAAGTAGCTACCTTTTCATTACTAGTATGGTACTGAGATTATTTTTTTTCAAGAATTTTCAGAGTATAAACAGGCATTTTTAATTCCTTTAATATACAGTGCTTCATTATATGCTCCTTGCTTATCAGTTGTTGCCAATATTGGATATTTTTGAGAAAATATTAAAATTACTGCTTAGATTAATATAAGTAAATAATTTCATTTTCAGCTAGTAAAAATAGCAGTGTTTTAGTAGTTCAATTAGTTCTTTAAATTAGTTCTTTAAGGGGGAAGGGTTTAGAATAGTAGTGTTGTGTGGGCACCTGGGATTTTTATTTTTTTTTATTTCTGATTTGAAAACAATAATAAAACCAGTGCAGATACAAATTATAATAACATTATTTATAGAATACTTTTAGCAGACATAAAGCAATCAGCAAGCTTCAAGATACACAATTCTTTCTTAGAAAATTCTAGTTTATTCTGGAAAATATTTAAATCTGCTATTATTTATAGTTACCTACATCCCCATTAGTGTAGTATTCAGCCTTAAATATTGCTTTTTATTGTGATCAAAAAACTAGCTTCATGTCATTCAGGAGAATTATTTTTGTTATATAAATTATTATTCCCTGTTGTTCTCAGAAATTATAACATTCCCTTCATTTACAGTGTAAATAACAATAAATAACAACAGACAAATGCAGTTCTTAAACACTATCACAGAATTGTTTTCTTGTCAAGTGTTTTAACTCTTGAATTGATGTGCCATCTTTTTGCATTATTTCCATCTCATTATTCTCATATTTTTAGGTTATGTGGGGCTGGTAAATCAAGCAATGACTTGCTACTTGAACAGCCTTCTGCAAACACTTTTCATGACTCCTGAATTTAGAAATGCATTGTATAAGTGAGTATATAGAATCAAAAAACTTCTTAAATTTGTGCTGGTTCGTATTGGTAGGAGACCCTTTGGAATTTCACCTGTCAAAATTTCCTTGTTTGGATACTGGAAATCGTAATGAAAGTCAAGCTGGATAGACTTAGAAATTATATCTGCTTAAAAGCTTCAGCTTTTCAGTAAAATACAAGTTACTGGTTGTGGCATGGACACTTTTTAAAGAATCTTGAAAACATCAAACTGAAAGTTAAATTTGATGCTAAGTGCAGTTCATGTCTGTACAGTGAATGTCTTCAAAATTTTTGGTTTTGTGTTTGTACATTTGAAGAGTATCATTGCCATTTACTGCAGAAGTGAAAAGCAACTGCATTTGACTTCTCCCAAGAAACAGAGCTGCAGTTAACCTGTGACATGGCAGACCTGAAATGTAGTAAATGTTGATTTAATGCCTTGTTGATTAATGTTTTCAAAGCAGTTTTATTTTTCAAATATCTTGTGTTCCAAATAGGTGGGAATTTGAGGAATCTGAAGAGGATCCTGAGAGGAGTATCCCCTACCAGCTTCAAAGACTGTTTGTTTTACTGCAGACCAGCAAAAAAAGGGCAATTGAAACAACTGACGTTACACGGAGTTTTGGATGGGACAGTAGTGAAGGTAATGTGCAGCTGTTAAACTGCTGTGATTTGCTTCAGCTGCTGCCTGCTAGGGGCTAAACTGCTGTTCATGGGGGAAAATACCAGAATAATTAAGATTAATTAATAGAATCGACTTTTTCAGTGGAAACAAAATAGCCTACATGGATACTTTGTTGTGCAGTGTGTTTGATTGTTAAAGAAATGGCATTTGTGAGTTTTAGGCTGTTAAAGTAAAAAGCATAAATTTTTGTAATTAAACTGTCATTACACATGTTGCTTGTTTCTAAAAAGTAATTTTTTATAGGAAACTTGCTTCTGTTTTGAATCACAAATGTCAAATGCCCATGTTGCATTTATGGAATCACCCATATTATTGTCTACTTCAAATCAAGCATGTCTTTTTTACACTTGTGTTGGTGTAATTTTGCCCCCAAAACCTGTTGATTTTTCCATTAGCACATGATGATGAGAAGTTAGAAGTTGGGTTTTGGAGAATCAGCACAAAGTAGGACAGAAATCAGAAGCAGTTTGTTTTATGTATATAGAGTACATTAGCACTTCGGTATTTTCACATATTCCTGCTTGTGTACACAGTTCTTGTTTATGTATAAACAAATTGAGCAAACTGACTGCTTATTTTTCTTGCTTACATTGAGAGGCAGCTGCTTGTGGAATTGAACAGTGGCCCAGCAGTGAACAGGTAGTAGTGTAGGTATGCACTTGAACCAATGAGTAGTTTTTTAGGAAGCATTCTCAGGCTACAGTCATTATTGGGACTAACAACATCTCCTGTTTTAACTAATAGTAACTTCAATTTTTAACAGCATGGCAGCAGCATGATGTGCAGGAGCTTTGTAGAGTCATGTTTGATGCTTTGGAGCAGAAATGGAAACAAACGGAGCAGGTAAGCTTGGAAAAACTGTCTTCATTCAGTGATGTAGTATTGTGGGTGTTTGGATTTTCTAATGATTGTAAAAATAATTTACTAAATTTTAAATACCAGCTTATTGAAAATCTGTGGTAGTTTCCAGTTTTCTGCTTTGATGCGATAGTTAAGCTGCTGTGATGTATGACTTTCAAGAGTGTGTTGCATCTGCTGTTTTCCTCCCCCAATTAAAAGTGGAATATTCTGCACTCTGGAATATTATACTCAGTCTTCATTTGAAGCTTTATTTGGGAAGTGGTTGTGTAACTCCCACAATAACTTCCTTGATGTCAGTATTTATTAGGCTTTGTTGTGGCCACTTGAAGCTCAAGCTCTCCCTTCCTAATGCAGGAGAAAGTTAGGAATATATTTCTGGCACAGGATACATTCTGATAAATGGCCACCTTCTTGCAGGCCAGTTTTAGCAAATAGGAGTAATTGGTAAATTGTCTCTGGAAACACAGGAAAGGACTGCAGGGTCAGTCTGTTAAAAATGTGTGCAAGATCAGGCTCGTTTTAAAATTCAGTTTGGTGCTTTTGTAGTCACTTAAGACGTGACTGTAAAGGACACTGAAACTTATGTAGCATGATTTGAGAAGCTTGATACGTGTTTTGGGCAGAGGAAAGTAAGAAATCAGGAGATGGATGTCCTGCTGGGGAATGGTATTTTAAATGTGTAGCCATGCAGTTAAGACTTAATTGACAAAAAGGTATTTTCTTATAAAACCAAAGAAATACGATATTGGTCATTTTTAAAAAATCCCTGTTGCTGCGTCTGTTTGTTTCAGGCTGATCTTATAAATCAACTGTACCAAGGCAAACTGAAGGACTATGTGAGGTGCCTAGAGTGTGGCTATGAAGGCTGGAGAATCGACACGTACCTGGATATCCCTCTGGTCATCCGGCCCTATGGCTCCAGCCAGGCGTTTGCTAGCGTGGTGTGTACTATTATGGTCCTAATAGTGCATCCATACACACATAGAATACATAATGCCCCAGTGGTAGAATTGGTTCCCTGGTAAGTATCATCCTAGATACTCCATCTTGGGGTGTTCGTCTTTGTGCAGTGAACCAGCTAGCAAGTTCTAGAAGATTTTTCTTTTTTTTGGCTTTTTGGTTTATTTTTTGTTTTGGTTTTTTTTTCTTTTGCCCTTCAATGAGTCCTACTGGTGCATGTACACGGGGAGGGGAAATGCAACTTTATTGCCTTAGGGCTGCAGTAATCAGTTATTTTCTTCCTGATAAAATCTTCAGCATTTACTTGAGAGATTTTTATGAGATTACAAAGTTTTTTTTGGGTTGGTTTTTTTACTGGCACATCTGCTAAATTTTCATAGCGTTATTGGAAGTGTTAGTGAAAGAACAGAACATTGACATAAAATTTTTACTTTAATTGCCATGTTGTTGCTGTACTTTTTAAAGGTCACTTAGATACCATATCATTTTAATTAATTTGATGATGATTCAAAAATCTTGTTCTACATTAATGTTTGTAGTCTCCTTTGCTCCAGCTTTACTGATGCTGGCAAGCATAACTGTTGCTTAGTAAATCTGTGGAAGTTCTTTTGTTTGAGTTTTTCCACCATGAAAAAAAAAAATACTACAGAGTGTGAAATTCCACAGTATACTGTGGATGGAGTTGTGAGAAAGAATAAGAATAAATCAAACAAGTATTTCAGTAAAGGTTGTTTTAAACAAGCACTTGTGTAATTGGCTTGTTTATTAAACATAAAGTATTTTTCCTTCTGTATTTAGTGTGCTGGCAATATTTTTAAAGCACTAATAGTCCATAATTCTTAACAGTAATTCTGTTAAGAATTGTTAGAATTAATTTAAACTGCAGTATAGCTTCAAAGTACTTCATACTTTGAAACTTTAAATACCAATCTTGAGAAGTAGTAAAGGTGAGGAACATTGATCTTGGAAAAAGAATTCAAGTTAGTAACGTCCTTTGAATTCTTTTTAAGATTGCATTAAAATTTTCTGGAACTGTTCAGCTAATTGAAGCTGTCTTGACACAGATTGATATTTTATACAGATGGCTTCCCTTTTCACCTTTTAACCCTGATTTCTAGCAGTATTCCCTGAACTAAATTTTATTTGTTGTAATTTTTATTCAATAATTAGATTTTTATGATCTGTTAAAAATAATGAAAACTATTCAGTTCATGTAGTTTAATTCTGCATTTAACAATGCATTGTTCGTCCGTCTCAAATGGAAAGGTTTTTTCTTTAGTGGACAAGTCTGTAGTGTAATGCTAAAAACAGACTGTCTATTTGTAAAAACAAAACTTGAATGAATAAGGACTGAAAGCTCAGATTACTTCTAATAGTATATGATATTTTTCCTTTCAGTCAGCATTTACTGGGTTTACTACATTGAGGAAAGTAGTTTTAAGATTTTTGTTACACAAACTTACATGGTTGCAACTTGTATTGATGTTTCAATTTTTGAGCTTTTTCAATTCCTATTCTGATTACATTCAGTTGATTCTCCTCCCTGCATATGTATGATCAATAGCAGATGTAATTTTTAGTTCTGTAGTCTTCAGCAGTGGGGAGATATGGAGGATACTTGCTTTTGGAGAAGGGAAAAATCGCCTGTTTCTAAATGGAATTCTCTGAAGGTAGTATCCTCCATTGATCCATAGATGATGTGATTTAGTAGGTGTAGGTAAAAGGGTCTGAGAGATCAAAAACTTCACACATGCGCTAATAGGGCTTATGGAAGGGAATGTAAAACTTTTTAGACCTTGCTAGTCAGCTCCTGAGGGAACTTGCAGCAGGCGACACAACCCAAGATAGGGGATCTAAGGAGGATACTACCTTCAAAGAACTCTAGTTAGAGGTAAGTGATTTTCCATTACTTTCAAACAAGAGAGAATGGATGGGTGAGCCTTGAATATGGTTAATCTGTAGAATGCCATTTAATGAGCATTATCCCACTGTTTGACATTGTGTATTACCAAAGAAATGCAGATACTAGAAATGTTGCATTAATTTATATGTGTATTACTTCTCAATGTATGGGGACATTGAAGAACTGGGAAGGATAATGTCATGCTTTCTTTATTTCCTACTATGAAGTAATTCTGAAGTTCTTCAGTGTGGTCTTAAGTTTGCATTTGGAATTTTTCTGATTCCCCACTCTATCCCCCAACTCCATGTGGCATAGCTGCAAACTCACCAGGGCAGCTCTGGGGCATTGAGATGTTGTCAGTGTGTGGCTCAAGATGGTTTCTGGAAAAGCACTTATGTAATCTGCATTGTTCAAGGGTATGGTGTCAAAAAAACCCTGAATCAGGCTTTTCTTGAGGTCAGTAGAAATCCATAAAAATATTTGGCTTATTTCAGGGAGGTAAACAGGAGCAACAATTCACATTCTGATTTTTGTAGGTACTAGTGTCTTTTTTAATTTGACAGCACTAGGCATAAGCTGAAATGTTTTGCAGTAAAAAAAAAAATATTTTGCAAGATGAACAGTGGAAAGAAAGACGCAACTGTGAGAGTTGATTTGTAGTACCAGGAAACTAGTAATGATCCAAGTATTCTGGAGCTGTAGCAAATGCAGTTGTGTTTTGTTAAGTATTGTTAATTTTTAAAATCTTTTGTACCGTAGCTTTTCTTTTGAGAGTGTAAGTACGTGTACAAGTAGTCCTTCTTAGGGCAGAAATTACTTTGAACTTTGCGTGAACTTTGTGGTGTCCTTGCCAAACTGATGAAGGCAGAATATGGATGATGTGATAATTCCTTTTTGTTTTTAAGGCTAGATCAGTAACAGCAAGGTCTTGTATTTTTCATTGAATGTACTCTTTGAGCACAGGAAAACTGATGAGCTCTGAAAACTCAGGTTCTCAGATGGCACTTAGTTTCTAGCATTTTCCAGCAGCATTTTTTCCTAAATACCATTTGTTGTGTAAGGCTTATAAAGGTCCTACTACTCCTGTTCACAGGTTTTAGAAATTTACACATTTAGGAATGCTTGCAGTATGGCACTTGTCAAACCACTGACTCGATCATAATGCATTTTTATGGAGGGAAAAGTTCTCTGCAGTGCCTCTGTTGAGCCAGACAATAATTAGGTTGAATTTTTACAGCATTTTAGTGTGCTAAGTGATAGAAATCGCAGAATATTAAAAACTGGATACACTCAGAACTTGGCTGGACAAGGCTCTGAGCAATATGCTTAAAGTTTGACCTGATTCAAGCAAGAGATTAGGATCAGATGATCTCCAGAAATTTCTTTCAGCCTGTATTGTTCTTTTGATTCTTTGAACTAGAAAGAAGTTTAAATAGCTTTTGTCATCCTAATCTGTAGCTTGATCACTTAGGCTTTATTTTGAAGTGTGTGTGTAGGGGGTTTTGGAAATGCTCAGTAACTCCAGGGGTAGAGAACAGCTGCCACGTTGAAGGTAACTCCTAAGGTAACACTGGCTTCTGGTGGTACTGCAGGGCAGGGGATGTGTGCTGTCTTAGACTTGGCAGCTTGGCAGTTTTGTCCCGGTTTTCCTGAGTAAACTGTCAGAGCAGAGAGCAGTGAACTACACTAGAGTAGGAATTGTATTAAAAAACCTCCTAATCAGCAGAACTAACCTTGGTGTAAAGATTATTTCAGAGGCAAGAGAGTCAGCCCGGGGAGCAGCAATGGTCATTATCCAAGGATTGAAAAATACATGGCTGTATATATATAGCTCAAAAGTAATGGAGGTCCCAGGAGCTTCAATCAGGCTTTTCAAAGCACAGCTCACTGTGAGTGCTAAGCAGTGAAACCTCAAGAGTGATGTAATAATAATTCATTGCCTTCTCAGGGGTCTAAAGCATCATCACTTCTTACCTAATGTACAAATTTGTGGGGTGTTTCCTTGTTAAATTGCACATCACATGAGTCTACATAAGCATTACACAATAATTTATGTCCCAACCTCCATATATTCCCATTTATTTTCATGTTGATGCACGAGCTGCAACTTTTTTTCTTACACTTGAAATATATTTTTCTTGCCTTAACTGGCATTTGGCTTACAGGAGAGTTCTGTCACTGATTATGATGTCATTATGTCATGTTTTCTGTATTGGCCATTAGCTTTTTTGCTTTTACTGAAATAGTTGTGAATAGTAGTCAAAATACAGCAATGCATTTCTTCTGCTTTCTTTTTAAGCAGGTTCTAATTTGCTTAGTCTCTTTTCTTACATTTCAGAATGAGATTCCTCACATTTCAGGACATAATCTTACTAAACACTAGCTGTCTGTGGCCCTGGAGTAAAAAGCAACTCAGCCTCTGCAGCATTTAGGAAATAAAGACATAGACAGCAGTTCAGTTCAGGCTCTAAAAGGTTTTCACATGTCTGGAGAGTCTCTGCCCAAGAGCTGTGATTTCAGGGCTGTTCAAAAGCCCTTCTGGCTGGCTCAAAAAATGTGAAATTGAGATGACTGCCTTCTCTCTAAAGTTGTTTTGTGGAGTTTGGCAGGTCTTTCATTTGTTAATAGTTGTCACCTGAAATAGGACTTTTAAAAAATGGACTCTTTCTCCTAGAATAACAACAGAGCTTTTGGAAAATACTTGCTTTGTTGTTCTTGCTGATTACCTCCATTCTTGGAAAGAAAGAAGGGAGGACGGAAGAACTGGGGGCTTTTGTGAAGAACTTGGCATATCCTTGATTTGTTCCCAAAGTGGGATTTGCCGAACAACACGATTTAGATACCAGTCGTAGGTTCTTTGCCAGCCATGTTATGACTGCTGAGTTTACTCTGCCCAGTTTAGCCCCTTCTTATTTATTCAGACTTCAGGGGAACAGCCACAGACCTTCATTAACAGATGATGATTTTTAAAATGTTTTGCAAGTTGTATTTGTTTTCACCTTCATGGGTGAGCAGAGAACTTCTGGCTTCTGCTTGGAGTTCAGAAACCGGGAGCCTATTGGCTTGCAAGCTGAGTGGGTTATGGGTTTTAACTTTGAAAATCTCTGGGTAAAATTCTTCAGTGAACCCATCTCAATACTCATAGCGAATTCTGTTTGAACAAGTTTATTCTCAAGTATGTACACCTTAATGTGCAGTGTCATTGCTGCAAATTGTGTTAGGGAGAGGAATAATGATCAATTTGGTTGTATTTTGAATATTAATTGCTGTAGTGAGGAGCAAAATAGAAATCATTGAAGTCCTGGGTGTAAGCATTACTTACAAAACTTTGGGGTTTTTTGAGCTGCCCCAAACTAGGCAGCTGTCAGAAGACAAAATTCCAGTTTCTGCTTAGTTGCCTCATAAGGTTTAGCTAGGCAACTACTTCTGTCTTTGTAGGAAATGGCCATGTCTGATTCTCCCCTTAGGGAGCAAAAGTCAAATACTCTTCCCTCTGTCCTTTCCCCAGCTTTCACTTAAAAATAGGATCTTCAGATGTAGTTTCCTAAGATCCTTGGTAGAACAGGACTAAGGCAAGGCACTGACAAACTGAGTAACTTTTTTTTTCTGCTGCTTCTTCTTTCCCCCTCTAAATATCAGATTGGATCTTTTGAGAAAAACTCCTTTAGAAATGCAGAAGAACCATCTCAAAATTCTGAGAGAGCAAGGACAAGGCAGGGTTTAAAAAGCTGATTTTCACAGCAGATGACTTTACAGACATGACTAAATGTGGTGTGCAAGGTAACAGGGGTAAATGTAACTATTGAACCAAAGACAGTTGGGATTCATCAAATCCTGAACAAGATACAAGTTAACGATAATTGTGGTTTTGCTGGGTAGAAAGGTTGATTTCTGGTCATGTTCACCTGAATATTGTGTCTGTACCAAAGTTTGTCAATCAAATTTTGGTGGTAGATTTAAATTAATTATTTGTATGTGTTTGCAATCTCATGGTAAATTTATACCTGCATGGTAAACACTCTTTAAAAATGGGGTAACATGTTTTTGTTCTTAGGAAGAAGCACTGCATGCTTTCATTCAGCCTGAGATCCTTGATGGCCCAAATCAGTACTTCTGTGAGCGATGTAAGAAGAAGTGTGATGCAAGAAAGGTAAAGACTGGTCAAATGATTTGCAAAAATTACTTTTAATAAATACCAATCCTGACAACAGGGGCATAATCTTGTCCTTGTTTCATTTAGGGTCTGCGGTTCTTGCACTTTCCGTACCTGCTGACATTACAGCTGAAGAGATTTGACTTTGATTATACCACGATGCACAGAATTAAACTCAATGATCGCATGACTTTTCCAGAGGAGCTGGACATGAGTGTCTTTATTGATGTTGAAGATGAGGTAAAGTATTTGGTTTCAGAGAAAAGCATTTAACTTCCTTCAGATTTCTCATTCTGAAAATCAAAATTCCAGTCTGATAAGCCTATTTTAATAACATTATTCATCTACATAAAATGTTCTTTAGCCATGCTAGTGCTATAATTAGAAGGTTTTAAATCTTTTAAATTTTAGTATTGCAAACAAACATGTTCTCTGTAGTTGGTGTTCCAGCTTCCATAAAGAAGCTGTTTCAGATTTCTTACCTCTTCAGTCGACGGATTTAAAGACATGAGTCTCAGGGCTTCTACATATGTACTGCAATTCCAGAAGGGAAGATTTATCTGAAACTTTTGTCTGAATCGTGTTGGTCATAAGGAATGATGTAAATTTTCAAAACTCTGAATACTGTAGTTAGTCCAGAAATAATTTGTAATGAACTTCTTCCCTCTGAATCACCATGTAGTGTATACTGTTGAAATAAGATTTTTAATTTTTTTTTTCCATCAGTCTTCTGGCTCTTTGCTTTTTGGGTTTTAACCAAAATTCATGTTGTGCAGTTACATTCACCAAGAAGTATTTACTGTGCATTTTGCCTTGAAGACCAAAGTAATTCCTCTAATTTCATTCCTGAAAACCTTGTTTGGCTTGCACTGGTATAAGATAAATACTGCCTGGATGTGCATATGGAGAGGCTTTTCTGGCTCTCTGCAAACCCTTGCCTTAGGAAGGATGCCATGTATAGAATTTGATACCTCTCAGAGTGGGATAAATAACAATGAAGATTGATCTGGGACAATAGAACTCAGATAAAATTAAGGACTGTCAGAAAATAAAAACAATTATCCAGAGGCAAGATGATCAGGTAAGAGATGAGTATACTGAGTGAGCTGCATTCACAGTGTTGGTGACACCATGCTGTTAAGCTAGCAGGACACTAGTCAGTCTTACTGTAATACCTTGGCTTGGTCCAGTGAGTTGAAATGGAAAAAAAAAAAAGTCTTTGATTGTGATTGAAAATATTTTCAGTCAGTTCTGATTAACAGGGCCACATTACAACAGGTTTGTTGTTTGGTATCAGACTTCCAGGTACTGAATTGGGATAGCTAGTGCATGGAATAGGCTAGTAACCAATATAACCTGGCCAAGTCTAAAAGCTCCTAATTACTGTTCAGTTGCACACAAAGCCCAGGAATACTGAAGAGGTGGACTGAAGACACCAACAGAAACAAGTCTGTTCTCGGTGCTGAATTGCAGAGGTCTCTAGTTTTTTGAGGAATTTAATTGCTTCATAAAGTGGATTTTTTCATTTCACAAACACTCTTATTTCCTGTTCCATGTAGCTTTTAATGTTGTGTAATGTTAGTGTGTATGTCTTATTTTTAAGAAGTCTCCTCAGACTGAGAGTTGCACTGATAGTGGAGCTGAAAATGAAGGCAGTTGTCACAGTGATCAGATGAGCAATGATTTTTCTAACGATGATGGAGTTGATGAAGGAATCTGCCTTGAAAGCAATAGTGCAGCAGAGAGGATCTCTAAAGCTGGCAGTGAAAAGGTATGATAATACTGGGGTGTTAGAGGGGTGGGCAGAAGGCTGGAAGGGGGGACACAGCTGGAAATGCTGACCTGGATTCACCACCAGGATATTCCATGCCAGATTCCCTGCTGTGCACCATCACGCTCAGCAGGAAAAACTGGGGGCTTTCCAAGGTTGCTGTTGTTCAGAGACTGGCTGGGCATTGCTCTGCTGGGGGAAAGGGGGGATGTGCTGAGTAATGCCTTTGCATCACTGCATTATTAATTTTTTTTTTTTTTGTTGTTTCCTTTATCTATTAAACTACCTTTGTCTCCAACCACAAGTTCCCACTTTTGCTTTTCTGATTTTCTCCACCATCCCACTTGAGGGGAGTAGTGACTGACTGGCTGGAGGGATACTTTGTTCTTGGCTAGGGTCTACCCACCACAAATGTAAATTATAAAAATATAATTAATTCTGACATTGAAGGTGAGGTGAGAGGTTGGGAGTGTGTGAGTTTATTTGAATTTTCAAAAATTGACATTACAACAAAGGAAAGAATTCCGCTGATTTGGAGATCACCTGAGATACATAAAGGTCTTCCCAGCTTGTCAGACAGAATTTCCAGTAACTTGTTTTGGCAGCAGACCCTTAAACTGGAGACCTGTTTTGCCTTGTGAGCAGTGGTTTTACTTGTGGCCAGCTGTCTAAGGTCTGCTAGATTTAGCTTCACAAGAGCATCTTGCAGAGTAGTAGGAGAAGACTGGGAAGTTTTGATCAGAGTTATAGATGAAGCCAAGGGTCTAAATGTTAAATATTCCATCAGTCATGTTAATATAAAGGAATTAAATAGCAAGTCAGTCCAGCATAGCAGCCATCCTACTGTGGGACATCAAGGGTGGTAGAGTTCGCTGGTAAACTTGGTTTTCATTGAAAATTTTGAACTTTATGATGATGTCTACAATATGTGCTTCATGTATTGTTGTTCAGTGAACTCATCTGAAACCAGGCCAGTAGCTTTCATTCAGCCTTGGTAGAAAGCTGTTTGACTTCAGCTGGTACTTTTATAAATTAACAGTTTTAAAGGGTGACTTGCATGTTAATCTGCACATCTGGCCCCGTTTGTATTTACCTTGAACCATTCGAGAGGGTTTTTTTGGTTTATGTTCTGAATACTGTCAGTCTTAGTTGGAAATGATGAAAAAATTAATTCTAGTCACTTGACTGGAACAAGACCAGAATATTTGAATGTGTCTGTAATGCAAGTGGGACGTCCAAGTATTGACAGTAGCTTTGGCCACTTATTTCATACTACTTGTTCTCAAGGCAGACAAGCTGTCAAGCCAGGCTTTTTGGTTTGGCTGTCTTAATAATGGATGTGGGATATGCTGAGAACATACAGTGTTTCTTCTGCATAGTCTAAAAATATCCTTGTAACACTTGTGAATCAGTATGGTTCAGTTTTATTTTTTAATTTATGTACAGCACTGAAGGCATGTGCTTAGTGCCCTGTATTTCCATCCATTTATCTATGAAAAAAAAAAGTGTATAGCCTCATGTGTGGAGAGGGGTGGTAAGCAAATAGACCTAAGCTTTGTAGCTACAAACTGCTGAGTAAAGTTTAGCATAGTAGAGTTCTGGTTTTGTTCAGTGCCTTTGCATTAATTAATTGCTACTACACAAATCCACTCTTTGCCTCCTACTATTTACATACCTGGGTTTGTGTCCTTATTTTAAAGCTTTTTAAAATTACCATTTGCCTAGGTTTTCTTCACTGGATACATTTCACACCTTTTTCTTCTCTCCACAGAGTTCTTTGTTGTATGAGCTCTTTTCTGTCATGGTTCATTCTGGAAGTGCTGCTGGTGGCCATTATTATGCCTGTATAAAATCTTTTAGTGATGATCAGTGGTACAGCTTTAATGATCAGCATGTTAGCAAGGTAAAAATAGTATTTTTAGTTATGTTATCCACTCATAAGTGGACCAATAAGTTTCTCATTTGTGATTTTCCACTTAGCTGCCCATAAAACCAGTTTCATTATATGTATTTCAAGTGTTTCCTTGATTTCATCATCTCATCCGAATGTCCTGCCATATACGTATGTTTCGCTCATTAGCTTAACTCATTTCTAGGGGTTTGGAGAGTTTTTCTTTATGGATCTATGTATTTTTGTGTGGTGGGGAAAGAAGTGTTTCTCCTTCGCAGTGATGGTGGGAGGGTTCCTAAAGAAGCCTTCATTCATGTACAGACCAGGCTGTATTTCAAATTCTGTATGTGTGAAGAGCATTTCTTTCTTAGAGAAGTGTTTGTAGATCTGTTACAGTCCAGACTGCTGTTAAACCTGTCCAGCTGATGGAGGTGTTCCAGCTATCATCCATAGGTACTATTGCAATCAGGAACCTATCTTTTTCTCTAAGAAGTTCCTACTTGAAAAACTAAAAAAACATGTTAGCATCCATTGTGAAATGGAGAAGCAAATCACTATGAAATTGTTTTTGGAAGTTAGCAAGTAAGCAGAAATATTTTTATAATTGGAATTATTAATATAGTGTGTTGTGTAATGCCATGTTTTCTAGTGAGAGTAAATGCATCTCGATTAGTGCAAGTTTCTCAAGTAATCATTACATTGATTTTCTGTTAGATAACTCAGGAAGATATTAAGAAAACATATGGAGGATCTTCTGGAAGCAGAGGATATTATTCCAGTGCTTTTGCTAGGTTAGTATTACTGTAATGTTACTTTTCTTTCTGGTAGTGTTTTAATCTAATGAAATGAATGGCCAAGGTGCATATGCCTAACATGTTACCTTAAAATTATTAGCAGATGCTTCAGATAGTTGTAAGAACTACCCTGACTGCTGTTTCAGATCATTAAAATAATGTGATATTTGTTTTTGAAAATCCTTCTTGGTTGGTGTATAACTTAGATATGATACAGCTCCCTGCTGAAATATAAAGAAACCAGAGCAGCTTCTGAAGCCAGTATTGTCTCCTGAGTGATAAATTCAGCTGTCTCTTCTCTTCCCCCAGCTCCACAAATGCTTACATGCTGATATACAGACTGAAAGATCCAACAAGAAATGCGAGTAAGTTCGACAGCTGTTATTTGCAAAAGTTGGGGTTTTTTAAAACTGAAGTGTTGCATGTTGTGGTTTTGTTTGTTGTTATGAAACAATGTCATAAAGTACACTAATCTGCAGAAGTGCAATATTTCTTTTATCACAATGTAGATGATATCTTGAGACTTTTATTATCAAGTAATTCACTTTCTGAAAGAGTACTTGCATTTATTGTAAAAACAGGATTAAGTGCAGTCATCAGCTTTAGTGTATTTCTCTACTACAGAAAAGCTTTGCATACTGAATGGAATCAGTGTGGAATCAACTGGAATCTTTTGCTGCTATCACTTTCTTGTGTTGCTGATAACATAAGCAAGGGAAATAAGAGGCTGACTTCAGTTTAATTAAAATAACGTAAAAGAGAACAGGGCGTGGTGTAGTGGGAAATTTGTGTGGAAAAAGAACGGGGTGAAAGGGCAAGAAAGATACCTCAAATATACCTGTAATGCCTAAAGGTGGAAAGGTAATGCCTTCTGTGGAAAAACTATATTTTTTTAAAAACTAATGCTTTGTTTTTACTGGCAGAGTTTCTTGAGGCACATGAATATCCAGATCACATTAAACAATTGGTACAGAAAGAGAGAGAATTAGAAGAACAAGAAAAGAGGCAACGTGAAATTGAACGCAACACATGCAAGGTTAGAATTTCTGCTGGACTGAGTAACAATACATTGCTAGTGGGAAATGTTTCTATAGTAAACAGTGGTTTTTACTACAGTACAAGGACTCCTTTGTGATAAATGTTTGCACTAACAATTCTTTAAAATGAATTGCACACCTGTTGGAGAGCTGTACCTAGTCCAGGCATCTGTTAGAGGTATTCACCAGACATTTTTGTTGAATTCATGTATTGCATGTGGATTTGAATTGGTATTAAACCCAAAACAACTTATCACTTATTTGAAGCAAAATTGCTTCCAAAGAATGTGTAATGCTGCCCGTTGTGTTTTGTACTCTTAAATCTTTTCATATTATGACCCTTGACTTAGTGCAATGGTATTTCTTAAACTAATTCTAAATAGTTACTTGGTAGAAGGAACGGAATTTTTCCAACCCTAGATTTAATAGTAACAAACAAAATAGGACCTCAGTGCCTTACAAGCATGGCAGTCAGCTGCTTTATCTATGAATCAAGTGATTGTTTTATGAGGAAGTTCTCTCATTGCAAAATGTGTAACTCTCTATGTGAAAAAGGAATTTCACATTCATTGTTCATATGTGCATTTGGCTTTGGAGCATTTGCTCACTTGTAGCCTGTGGCTACAAGATGTTCTGGTTATAGAAGCTGTACCTGTACCCTAGCTGGGAGAAAGGTTCAGATGCACACATGTACCTCGTGTGCCTTTGACATATTCTGTCTGCAGTTCTGTAACCAGCTGAAAGGAAACCATGCCACAGCTGAAGTAGAGCTAAAGGTGTATTTCATATTAGATTGCTTGAATATGGTATTTTCAACTTAAATGGAAAGATATTTGAAAATGCCTTCATGAAATTTTTTCTTCCTTTTGTATTTCAAAGATTAAATTATTCTGCATGCATCCTACAAAGCAAATAATGATGGAGAACAAATTGGAAGTTCATAAGGACAGAACACTGAAGGAAGCTGTGGAAATAGCTTACAAGGTATGCCATGTGTAACAGAATAGTTAAATTGTTTGATGTAGTGTTTTCTGCTTTGTGTCTTCAGATTTTAAATTTTTAATACTGTGGGAGTGTTTGAGAGGGTTCAAACTTGGCTTGGGGTTGTTTTGGGGGATGGTTCTTGAGAAGTTCTGTATGATGGGTATTTTGTTCTGTTTTTTTTTTTTTTTAAAGGTGTTCTAGTTTGCCATTTTTGACTAAATTTTCTGCCAGTAGCCATCAGCTGATTGCTGATTGGAGTGATGCAGCCTGCCCTTGTAAAAGGCAGTATGATCTGGCATACCCTTATTTTAAAATCAGACAGTGAGAGCTGCTGTTAGGCTCAGCATGGCCTCAGCATGTTGAAAGAATTCTGAACACTTTTATTGGCATTGCAGTAAAAACCTTTTATTAGATACATAATAACAGAGCTCTTGAGAATCTTCCTGGGTAGCTAATTCAGTAACAGGAGTGAACACCAAGGCATCTGTTGATCTCTGCCTTCCTCAAACAGGTGGGAGCTGAAGACATCAATTTTTGCTCACCTACTTGTACTCTTTGGTTCCTGCTGTGTATGTTTTTGGCTAGGAGAGCACTAGCAAGGCACTTACACATTTGGGATGTGCTAACATCTCTTTGAGATGCACAGAGAGTAATTAGTAGATGTGACTCCCTCAGGCCTCTAAGATGCCATCTGGTATAAGTGATAGGCAATGTATTCCGCTGAAAATACTTGTGGGGCCTGTCTTCATGTGCCTCTGTACATACTTTTCAAAATTCCCTCTTTTCTGCATTTGCATGCAGGCTTCTGTTTGAATTTGGAAACACATATATATATATTGCATGTATGTATGCATATATAACGTGTATCTATAACATGTATCTATATTGCAAAATATCTATGATGTGTTTTCTAAAACCAGATTGACTGTTGTGAATTCAGGGGATTCCTGGATGTACGCTCAGTGAGGTATTTCTAGCTTGCAAGTTAAGAACTAAGCTCCCAAGTAAGCTGTTACTGATGTTTGGGGGGTTCTGTGTGTGCACCTTGTAGTTAATGGATTTAGAAGAGGCTGTTCCCTTGAACTGCTGTCGCCTTGTCAAATACGATGAGTTCCATGACTACTTGGAGCGCTCCTACGAAGGAGAAGAGGATACCCCAATGGGTTTGTTACTTGGAGGGGTCAAGTCAACCTACATGTTTGACTTACTGTTGGAAACAAGAAGGCCTGACCAAGTTTTCCAGTGCTATAAACCTGGTGGTAAGATATGTAATGACATATATGCTTTTAGTCTCTCCTTGTCTATACTGTGTGGTGGCACAAGCACAGAGCTGTAAAACAGCTTCAGTATGAGGTGTTGCAAGAAGAAAACCTAAATTTTACAGTCAATATTCAGAACTACATAATGTGCTGTGCTGCTGACTTGCTTCTAGTTGAAGCAGGTCTAAGGTACACTAAAATTTGTCAAACTGGAAGGTGTTTTCTTTTTTAGCATTAAATTTGATCAGAATATGTAATTCTGAAATTGGACTGCATTCCAAGTTCTTACTGTTTATATTTAATGCAGCCCCTTAATTATTACATCAGACAAGCATACGTGTGTTTTCTTTGTCTGTTGAATTTTCTCTGTGTATATATGTGACTTTGTTTTCTTTTCTCTCCTCCCTGCAGAGGTAATGGTAAAGGTTCATGTAGTGGACCTGAAGACTGAATCTGTTGCTCCTCCAATAAGTGTGCGAGCTTATTTAAATCAAACAGTTTCAGAGTTTAAACAACTAATTTCAAAGGTAATTTACAGTCCTTATGGACTTGTATTAAAGAGTTTTTGTTCATTGTGACTGTGAAATGTGTCATAATTTCCATACCTACAATGAGAGCCTGCACCTTTTGCAGATCATGCTGTGAATTGTGTCCAGCAGGGTTCAGTTAGATGCTACAGCTGAGTTTGTCCACCTGCTCACTCCTGCTGAAAGCAGCAGGCTGCTTCTTGCTTCCATGCAGAGTTAGTACCTTTAACAACCTCACTGAGAGTCCAGCTGGTGACACAACTAATGAACCCTTACCACACAGGTGAACCGAAGTGTAACTTCCCATCCAGCTTTAATATTTGACACCTAACATCCAAAGCTGTCCACGTTCTTCGTGCAATCTCTCCTTTTCATCTCAATAGCCACTTGTTACCAAGATGCAAATTGATTTTTACCTGATTTGAAACCAAGGGACATTACTGTTTCTGCTGCATTGGAAGATGGAGATTGCATTTGCTCATTTCTGTGTAAAATTATTCAGTAATTGGTGTAACTTCACAATATGTGTTATAAAATATCATTCCAGAAATTTGAGTTCAGTCTAAGAATTAAGTGGACACTGTGCAAAACCTGTTTTCAAGAGTATTTTTAATTTTCAGTTGGTTCATATGTTAAAGATAAGACCATTGTCATGAATGATTTTCCAGTTCTCTGCAAAGCCAGGCCATTTTATGCTTCTGACCTTGTGGAAAAACTGACACTTGCTACATATTATAGGGTGAAGGAAAGGCACTGGGACTGAACAGGTTTGGGAGGTTTCCCTCCATGTTCTCTTTTGCAGTTTCAAAGTTGAAAACAAGCCTGCTCCTTTCCCAGTGAATAATCCCAGAAATGAAGCACCTTTTTCAGTTTTGAAGGTATGTGTGATGCACATGTTATCTCCCTGTCTTAGGCCACACACCTGCCTGCCGAAACCATGCGGGTGGTGCTGGAGCGGTGCTACAATGACCTGCGTCTGCTGAACGTGTCCAGCAAAACACTGAAAGCTGAAGGCTTTTTTAGAAGCAACAAGGTACACACTCTGGTTTTTAAATTGTTCATTCCTTGTGTTTGTGTTTACCTGTTGTGTTGTAAAAGGCGTGGAAGTATGTATGGAATTGATAATGGGCAGCTGTCCTGTATTTTGCTCTGTATTGTGTGGGGTTTCTGTGCCTGGTACAGTGGTGCTGGTGAATACTCTAGGCTAGGTATGAAACCAAGTGTACATAGGAGAGAGTGGACTGAGAATCAGACATCTGGCTGTTACTCTGGTTCAGATGATGCTGAGCTTAACAGCCCTACAAAGAAGACTGTGAAAAGTCAAGCATTCTTAGGGAGCAAAGATTGATATATTGCTATGAAGCCTGCTGGATGTGTTTGGTAAAAACACCTGAACAACCATACCTGCTCTTAGTATTATTAAACTTCTTAAAAAACAAATATCAAAACTAAAAGCAAGTTTTTGGTGGGTTTCTATCTTAAATTCAGTAGTTTTCACTATGAAGATTCTCCCTGGACAATTTGTATTATTTTTTCAAAAAAGGCTTCTAATAAATATTTCCAGTAATAATTGTGTAATGCATTCAGAAGAAGAGTAACTTAGCACTCAAATAACTTAAATATTTAAAATGCATACATTGCCCTTTTTTACTACAGTAGAAATAGCCCATCTTTTAGCACATTTTGCACATCCTCTGATGTTGAAGCTCAATGTTAAATCTTCTTGATGAAGAAAGATTGAGGAAGGCTTTGATGGCTCACAGCTGGGCAGTACAGTGGCGCTGAGTTGTTACTCAGTTACTTAGAGGCCTTTCACAATCAGTGTCACTACAACATGGAGCCCTTTGACAAAGGGAAGAGAGACATTTAATTTGCACTATTGCTTGAACATGTATACATTTAAAACTTCCTTATGACACTGTACTGGAATGTAAAGGCACAGTCTGCTGCGGTGGTGGGTCTCATTGCTGCCAAAACAGTGCTGTGCACAGGTGAAGGGTGCACATGGAGTGATTTATGAATCCACTTCTGAATGTGTTTCCTGGTCAGTCTGCTTACAGTTCATTCCAGTCTTTACATGGTTATGAAAACAAGGAAAAGTGAAATCATTATTATACTACAGACTCCTTGGTCTGTCTTTTTCTAAGCATGTATTTTAACATTTTGATAAAAGGTGATGTTTCTTGATGGAATTATTTCTAATACACATTAGAAATAATGGCATCAAGAAACATCACCTTCTATCAAAATGCTCAACCCTGTGTTTGCTGTTGTTGCATTTATTTAAAATACCACTACATGGTACAACACTTCTTTCCTGTTCAGGTGTTCATTGAAAGCTCAGAGTCTTTGGACCGTCATGTGACATACACAGACTCTCAGCTGTGGAAACTTCTGGATCGCCATGCAAACACCATCAGACTGTACGTTTCATTGCCAGAGCAAGCTCCTGGATCTCAGCTCAGACGGGCACTTTATCAGAAGTCTGGTGGGGGTGCAGGCAACTTAGATGAATCTTGTGAAAGAGCAAAAGGACCTGTAGGTAATATGAAATCCGTAGAGGCAATTTTGGAAGAAAGCACTGAAAAACTTAAAAGCTTGTCCCTGCAGCAACAGCAGCAGCAGGAGGGAGACAATGGAGACAGCAGCAAAAGCACAGAAGCCAGTGATTTTGAAAACATTGAGTCACCTTTAAATGAAATAGACTCTTCAGCATCAGCAGAAAACAGAGACCTTGACAACCAAATTCAGATTTCTGATGCAGAGAATCTGCAGTCTGAGGAGCGGTCGGACTCGGATGTCAATAACGACAGGAGTACGAGTTCAGTGGACAGTGACATCCTCAGCTCCAGCCACAGCAGTGACACTTTGTGCAACGTGGACAATGCCCCCCTCCCCCTGGCTAATGGACTGGATTCTCACAGCATCACGAGTAGCAGGCGATCAAAAGCCAATCAGGGCAAGAAGGAGACCTGGGACACAGCAGAAGAGGATTCTGGAACAGACAGTGAATATGATGAAAGTGGCAAGAGCAGAGGAGAAGCGCAATATATGTACTTTAAATCAGAACCCTACATTGCAGAGGAGGGTTCAGGAGAAGGACAAAAATGTATGTATTATTTTTTAAGTGCCTTAAAATAATTCTGTGGGTTTTACTACTTAATTCATATGCTGTGTTAAAAAAGTCTAATGGCAGTATTGAAAAACTTAATTATAATGTCAAATTAAAGCTAATGGAAGTGCAGACAGGATGTGATGTTCAGCAAAATCTATTTTGATTTTGTAATAAGTGATTACATATTTGAAAAGTCTTGCTCTTTTGTTTCTAAGAAAATGAACCTCTACTTAAGTGTATTGATAATGTTCCCTGAAGAGCAAGCTGAGTTGTCTTCTAGTGAAAGGATCATAGTTGCATCTGCTGCTGATGATTCACCTGTTTCAGAATGCACTTATTTAATGTGGTTAAACCAGCATATTTCTGTTATCATTTAGACTAACAAACCTGAAAATCTTAGTCATTTGACTGTAAAGAAAATTCAAATATACTTGATATTGACAATTTAATTCACTAACTGAAATACAGTGGGTACAGTGAGGCATATGGCTGACATGAAAGTGTCCAAACAAGTTCAGTGTAAGAGCCTAAGTGGTATATAATTGTCAAAAAAATACATAATTTCAACAGTGCTCTGTACCTGCATGTGCTTTATAACTAACAGAATAATAATAAAAGAATAGCTGGATGTAAGATAAATATTTTGAAAGACAAAGGCTTTCTTGTCAATCTAGAAATCTGATTGTAATAGTAATAGATAAAGAAGAGTTTCTCACACAGAAATTGATTTGCATCTAGTAAAGCTTTGATAAAATCACTCCTTTAGCTTGCAATGGTCTTTCCTTGGGTCTAATTATAAACTGCTTTCATTTATCCCTGTTTTGTTTTGGTTGGTCTAGTTGGATTCAGGAACTACTTGTTTGCAGTAATTTTGATGTTATCATAATACACTGCATAAATTATTATCCTGAGGGGAAAGCTTTTATTTATTTTTAGTATCATTCAAATAATTTATTTGTTCACTTCAATATTCTGAATTGTTTATTCTAGAGTGTTGTGACGTTACACAATCATGATGTAGTTTGTAGTGTAGTACAAATTGCATGTATTGAGAAACACAATTTCTAAAGGTAAACTATTCCCTTTGTGTTCCACAATTTCATGTTACTACAATTTTTCCTTAATTACAACATTAGTCCATGAAAAAGTCCCTTAATCTGGCTTTGAGCTTGTCTTGTGATACCCTGTGGCCTTCCAGAACACAGAATTTACCTTTTTAATGCTGAAAGCCAGGAAGGAAGGTAGAAGGGGTTGGGTGGCCTTTGCCCAGCCAGTCCCAGCACCAAAGCAGTTCCCTGTCCTTTGAGGAAAGCTGTAGGAGGATTTAGCAGTTGCTCCATGGAATTCTGTTTGTTTTCTTTCTGAACAGGCAAGATACTGCTTTGCTGAATGCATACCGGGGCAGTTTGGAACTGCTGTGTCCCCCAGAAATATCTGCCCATAAGCACTTAAAATACAGCAAAGCTTTTAAAGGTTATGATAACATCATTAGATAAAATGTAAATGTAGCCATAAACCATAATTCAGGCTTTTCAGTACTGTTTTGCTGCAAGTGCTAGCTAGCTCTGAATACATGGAAATTGTACGTGAGAGTGCTTTTTTTTTTGGTAGCAAGATGTTTCATACCATTTTTATCTTTATTTTTGCTCAGGGCTGATGGTGCATGTTGATAAAAGAATTACACTGTCTGCCTTCAAGCAACACTTGGAGCCTTTTGTTGGAGTTCCATCTTCTCACTTCAAAGTCTTTAGAGTCTATGCCAGCAATCAAGAGTTTGAGAGTGTTCGGCTGAATGAGACCCTTTCGTCATTTTCTGATGATAATAAGGTTATTTAGAAGTTATTTTGAATCATTGAAAGTATATTGGTACAATATAAATTAAGTTAATTTACAACAAGTGAAATAATTATTTTGGTCTTGGTAGCATGTTACAGAATACAATTCTGATTTTGATACCAGTTGTAACAGATATTCCTTTTGCTTTCTAGATAACTATTAGACTTGGAAGAGCCCTTAAGAAGGGTGAATACAGAGTTAAAGTCTATCAACTCTTAGTAAATGAGCCTGAGGTAAGGCATTGAATGTTTCAAGGCTGGTTCATGAAAATATTAATATGTGCCTTGGCCAAGGCTTTGCTTTGAAATCTTGGAAAAAAATGAAACTCCTTTTCTTCATATTTCTCTGCAAGGGATTTAGAAAGGAAGTTTGAGATTATTGCTGTTCCAAGGAAGCAGTTGGAATGTGATTTACACTATCTCTCAAGTGTCTTTATTTCTGTAGTATAAATGGAGTATAAGGGAATTGTTTCTTTGTTTCCCTTAAATGTGTGACAGTCATGCAGCATTCTCTCTGAAGAACAAACTCCAAAGAAGAAACTCCATAGCTTGTGGCTGTGGTTTTCAGTGGTCTGAACTGATCTAATTCATCCCGTTCATGTGCTGCAGATAGTGCTTGTCAGGAGGGCTCTCTGCATAAGGCAAGCTTGAAACAAAAGTGCCTCTTGCAGTAAAGCAGCTCATAAGCTTGTTACATCTTCTGGGACATGAAAAATGCAGATGTGGTTATATAGACTGTAGACTGGATGAAGTAGACTGTAGATTGCAGTCTTTAAAAGTTGACTTTTTATACACTTTAATTTTATTTTTTGGACAAAACTGCAGAATATCTATTAATAATGGATAAGAGACTAAGCTGAACTGCTGAAGCAGGGAATAAGATAAATTTAAAAGCAACTTCCATGGATGGAGCTGTGTGTGATCATGAAAGCCAAGGAAGTTGATGATGCGGTTTATTTAATTTGAAAGCTCCTTTGCCATTGTGTGGAATGTGAATGTAATGGTAGCAGTTAGCAGCTACCATTAGTGTGGCTACACTAATTAGTTACACCCCGTTTTAATTAATTCATTGCCTACCTTGTTAACGAGAAGCCTACTGATCTTTTTGTCAGGTGGATGGGACTTGCCACAAAGCATAAACAGAGGTACAGTTTTCTGTTCAGTAGAATTCTGTGTTTTATCTTTTTTTTATTTATATTCACAGCCGTGCAAGTTTCTTCTGGATGCAGTTTTTGCTAAAGGAATGACTGTCCGACAGTCCAAAGAGGAACTGCTTCCTCAGCTTCGAGAACAATGTGGCCTAGACTTGACAATTGACAGGTAAACGTGATGAAATACCATTTTCAAATGTGTTTGGGGATTTCTTTTCGCTTGTGGAGAAAGAAAGTAATGAAAGAAGCAGAAATAAATTGCCATGGTCTTTGAAGCAGTTTGTGAATACAAACACTAATTCAGCAATTCTTGGCTTTCATCTCACACAGAATGAATTCTATAGGGGATAATATTTACACAGAATTGCCTGTGTGTAACATGTCTGCAGCTTTAGATCTCTCTAATAATGATTTCCTTCAGGAAGGGGAACATGAAATAAATCAGTTCTTAAAAGAGCCACCTGCTCTCTACATGCAAGCCCAGCACAGGTCACTGCAGCAAACGGCTTGTGCAGCATCGTGTGTGTGTACAGCACTGATCTGGGCTATCTGCCCTTTACCATAATTGGGTAATCCCTAATTAGGAAACAGCTTTCTTCCTTTAAATCCCTATATATTTCCTGCATTGAGCAAGTGGAATACAGACTTGTTTCCCTTGTGTTTATGAATGATTCAGCACTAAGCTAGCAGTGACGCTCTGCTGTCAGGACTGTTTCTGAACATTAAACTTGTTCCTGTTAAACTTCACCAAGAATCAATGAGTTGCAGTATTTCAGTTTTTCAGAAAATACTCAGTCTTGATCTCTGGCAGTGTTAAGCATTCATGAGCAAATAGAAACTCACTGGGGTTTTTTGTGATATATTTTAGGTTTCGCCTACGAAAGAAAACCTGGAAAAATCCAGGCACTGTGTTTCTGGATTATCATATCTATGAAGAAGATATCAATATTTCCAGCAACTGGGAGGTCTTCTTAGAAATACTTGATGGTAATGATTTATTTTTAAGTATTGGTGATGACTAGGTAGCTGAAATACGTGCATGCAGCTGCATAATGCTTGCGTATAATTTAAGTTGGCACAACAGTTCAGTCTTTCAGTAGTTTTCAGACAGGATTGAAAAATAATTCTGTCATGGAGGAATTTGGAACCAAAACTTCTGTTCTTCAAAACAATTTTGGAATCAAATATTAGAGAGCAGAATGTTTCTGAAATTCTGCTTAACTGTTATTTAAATTATGCCATTTCTTAAGCATTCCTTTGCATATGCACTTAAAATTTTGATTGTGAATTCAGAAATGTAATTTAAGGGTAAGAAAAGTAGGCCATGCTCTTTGGCCTGTAGATTAACAGATAATGCAGTTAATGTATAGATGAGGAATGTGAATTCCATTCACTCAGGAATTTTCTTCCCAAGCATACCTTGTTTAAGAAGTGTCACTTAGCTGTTAGTCAAGTATTTTGGGAGCTATGTGCAATTCTGGTATTTTCAGTTTTAACAAAATTATGCCAATGAAAGTATCAAAATTTGAAAAGAACCTGGGAGATTGAGGAAGCCTGCAGATTCCTGTGGACATAGGTATCAGCTCCTGCTGCAGTTCAAACTTTACAGTTTAAAATTTTTATTATATTTAGATAAATGCTGTACTGTTTCTGTAGTGAGTAGGTCTTGGAGATACAGCTTTAGACACTGCAGCCCACCTAACTCACAGGCAGATTGTAGATTACAGGGTTTGCAAGAGTTCTGCAACAGTTTCACGCAAAACAAGCTTGTAATGTGAGACATAAATGTCTAAGCCTCATGTTCTGCATGCTAGATGATAAAACTATAGACTAATAAAAAAAAATCAGCCCTTGGGTATCACTTCTGCTTATCTAATTGTAATATAAACAATACTGTTCCATCAGCCAGAGACAGCTCTGAAACAAGGTATAAAAAGGCTGGAGGCAGCACATACTAAAACTCTTGAAGGTGGTGGGTGGAAACAAGATTTCAATAACAAGTGTGGAGTTGGTGAGGGAAATCTAGAAGTTAAAAGGGAAAAGCTAATTTTGGTAAAGGAGGTGAAGCACATGAATAAATACCAGATAGCTGAGGAAGGTCTCGTGCAGATGCCGGATCTGGAGTCAGCCTCTGGTTAGGTGGATAGATCTGCCATGGATAACTGAGCTGGATGTTATGGAAAACTGTGCCTTATAGCTTCAAGGAGATTCTGCCCACGAAAAATTCATTTATAGAAGCTGATAACAGAAAACTTCAACTAAATCATAGTCCTTTCCTCTTCCCCTTTTTTCCAAGTGAACTGCTTGCAGAACACTGGGTTACTTAATTTGTGCATGTATCTCTAGGGCAGTCTTCCATATTAGAGTATCTTTAAGTTATGGACAAACCCTAATTTAAAATAGGATATTTTGCAATGTTAATAAAAAAAAATTTCTCTTTCTTTGCTAGGAGTAGAAAAGATGAAATCCATGTCACAACTTGCTGTTTTATCAAGACGATGGAGGCCATCAGAGATGAAATTAGATTCTTTCCAGGAAGTAGTACTAGAAAGCAGTAGTGTTGAAGAATTAAAAGAGAAGGTAAAATGTGTACTATGATGCAAGTTTCTTGTGATGACCAAGAGCCTTATTGATGTTCTCTGGTGGGAAGCAGAGGGACGTCATAGCTCCAAAAATCTTGTTGCATGATGGTTATTTTTCTCCAGGAACTGATATCCTATCCCATCCCATTACCAAACCACATGAACTACCAATTTACTTCTTAGTTTCACATAATGGTCTGGTCTGAAAGTATTCAAGTGAATACATGCAAAAAAAGAAGTCACATCTTGAAGTTTAAGCAGCTTAATAGTAGCTTTGTCCCTTTTCATCAAAAAACACACATGAAAGAAAAGCTGAGCTATTGCCTCTTGGTGTTTTTTCAAGCTAATGTTTTGTTATTCCAAAATACCAAACCTTTCAGCCTCTTCTTACTTGAATTTGACAGCTGTTGCTGAGTGGTGTTGCTGTACCAAGTAGGCTGAGCTATGTTTTGGTTGGAAAGAAGTATGGCTGTGGTGTGGTTTGGTTTTGGTATGGCTGTGGTATGGCCAGGATGCTCTAACAGGTAAGCAGACCTGTGTCATCCCAGCAGAAATCTGGAGCAGGAGTGTCTCCTGTTGAGACTGTTTCCAGTGTATCACAGAGTACCATGCTTGGAGAAATGTGTATTTATACGTGGCAATACCCAGTTGTTAGGAGGCCACCTTGGATGTTGAGGCCAGTAAAAACGCTGGTGTCAGTGACCCTGAGAATTCATAAATGAGGGGTGTTAGTTCACAGGCTGGGTTTGTGTTGTACACAGGTTAAGCTATGGGCCACTTTCTTGCATTCCTCAGGTGGAAATGAAGTCATGACTACAGGTTCTTGCATGCAGTCAAGAATTCCTCCTCACTTGTGCCTGAAGAAAGAGTTGGCTGCTTTTGTTTGATTTGATTTGCAGAGCAATTTTATTTCTTAAAGTTCTGGTAGGAAGTGCAGGTGTGTGGAGGTGGGTCCTAGTCATGCCTATTTTCCAGCTGTGCCTGCTTCCAGATTGACTGGATAACACCTTCCATGTTACACAGGGTTTAACGTGAGGCACTTGGTCTCTCTGTATCTCGGAACTTGAATGTTATTAATTAATTGTTTCTATGAACTTTTTTTGTCTCCCCTTCAGTATTAAGAGAAGTGTGATGAAATGCTGTCACAGCAAGCGTCACTTGTGACACACACTGGTAACTTCAGAAATGTTAAGAATGCCTACTTGTCACTCCAATTTTGTACATTGGAGGACTTGCAGATAATTCAACTTCTAGATTTGGCAACTATTCACTTCATGTAGACACTGTGTAATGTTGCTTTGGAATAGTATTAAATCCACCATTTCTCTTCACAGCTAAGTGAAATAAGTGGAATACCCTTAGAAAACATTGAATTTGCAAAGGTAAGTAAGATTTTACCTTTTAAGTAAGATTTTTTTACCTTTTAATGGCACAGATGTGTGATTATGAGTTTTATTGTATTCACTAAGTAATTGCTTTTTTCAGGGTAGAGGAACCTTTCCCTGCGACATTTCCATACTAGAGATTCATCAAGACTTGGACTGGAATCCGAAAGTATCTACACTGAATGTCTGGCCCCTGTACATTTGTGATGATGGTGCAGTAATATTTTATAGGTATGTATTCCATTACAGTGTAATAAACAACACAAAAAAAACTGTGTTTAACATTTGTGGGGTGATGTAATGGACAGGAACATAAAATACTTTTTGTTACCTTAAAGAAAAGGTTTGAAACATTCAGCTGAAATATCTGTGCTCCTCAGCTTCCTAAAAGCCTGAATATTAATTAAGGTTAAGAAAACAAGCACTGCATCTTTTTACTCAATCCTCCCTCCTGAACCACTGAAACTAAAGCTAGTTGCTATGCTTGAGTGTGTATCAGGATTTAATTTCTTAAAATAGAACCATATCCCATGTGGAATTAGTGAGAGTCTTGCTGCAGGTTTTGGAGAGCAAGGATTTTATTGTCTGAGTTTACTCCTTTGAGAAATTATTATGGATTCTTTTTAAAAAGCCTGTTTATGCTAAAAATTCTGTTAAATGTGGGAAATGTTGATCAGCTGGTGGCAGTAGCTTGGGGCAGGAGTTGAGGACTGAGAGCTTGAATTTTGTCATTTCTCCTAAACTTGGTGGGGCAACCTCATGGACACATTGCTGTGGCAATTTGCATAATTGCATGTGAGCTGGAGAAAAACAGCCGGTTAATAATGTGCTGGTCCTGATGGAAATGACTTGGGAGAACATCTGGTAAGGACTGGCTGGCACACTGCTTCCAGCTGTTGGCACTGAGACCAAAAGCAGAGCAGAGCTGTGGTTGTCTATAAAGAATAGGAGTAAGAGAGGTGGAGGAGTATGGACTTGTTTCTTGCCCTCATTTGTAGTCAGGCAGAACACTGAATGTTTCTGCTGGAAAAGCAGGTTTAGACACATTGCCTGTTCCTGCAAAAGAAACCAGTCCCTGAGAAGTATTATGCTTAGTTGTGGTTTTTACTAACTTGCTCCAAGCTGAAAAAAAAAGCAGGAGTCTACTTGTGGTTACTGTATTGATCTGAATTTGAACATATGTTTACATTTTAGGGATAAAACTGAAGAATTAATGGAATTAACAGATGAGCAAAGAAATGAACTGATGAAAAAAGAAAGCAGCAGACTCCAGAAAACTGGACACCGGGTAACCTACTCTCCCCGTAAAGAAAAAGCACTAAAAATTTATCTGGATGGAGCACCAAATAAAGATTTGACTCAAGACTGATACTTGCTATAGCATTTTCCCTGGGGAATTTTTTTTGTTTCCAATCAAAAGGTTCACTACTACTGTGTAGTGCCATTACGGCAGGACATTCATTAGGTGTAAAGCGCTGACACCAGCACAGCCGGGCGGTGCCGGCCGCAGGCAGGGCCCCGCTGGGCACTGTGGGACTTGGAATCATGTTGTGCACTATAGTCAAATGTACTGTAAAGCTAAAAGGGATGTGCAAATAAAAGATTGGAACTCAAAAGTGGGCGGGGAGGGAAACGAGTGGAAATTGTTGAGGACAGTGTGCACATAGTAGCTAGTGAAACTAGCCTCCAACAGGATACTCATAGCTTAATAATAAAAGCTGTGCAAAGGCCATGGAAGAATCCTTTTCTCTGTTTGTTTCACTGATACACGCATTACCTCATCAGAGAGTGTGGAATAAATGATAACACATTGGTTCTAGGAAAGCAGCGGGGAAGGGCCGGGCGTGGGAGTGCTGCAAGTGTCAGGTTTTAGAATATTCTTCCATAAAACAGGGGGTCTGAGAGGTGTCTGCAGGAAGCTGCTGGCAGGCCTTGTTTGTTTGCAGAAGTGCTGTTGTAAGGTAAAGTGGTTTTCAATAGGTTACCGATGAGCAGCTCTAGTGTATTGCATCCGATGTGTAAATAAAATCTGCCCTATCCATTTACCAGAACTGCAGTTCAGCTATTTACCATGCTATTCTTTACACATATCAACATTCGTTGTGTACATTTGGAAGTATAGTTGCCTATTTAAATTTGTATTCATTTTATGTTTGACGATGCTGGGTACTTTAGGGTTGTACTTCCCCTTGTTAATGAAGTTTTTGTTCTGTTCTGCTACTTTTTGTACATTTTGTTTTTAAGACTATTACAAGTTTGCATCTTCTCCACCTGCTGTCAGTTTATTTTCTCCCAGAGTTGATTCCATAGCTATATGTAGTCAAATATTGGGGCAACCTCTTAACACCTCAACGTACGAACTCGGTAGTTCAGGCTGTGGTGCAGAGACTGATGCAGTCAACATGATTTCATTGCAAAGCCTAGGAACAGCAATTTTTTGCTTTGGTCCATAAAGATCAATAGAGAACAATTCTCCATAGTTTTTGGAAAAACCACCTAATTTATAACAATCAAAAGATTTTGGTAAACTTTTTCATGCCAGATGCTGTTTACAACAATGAACATGCCAATAAAACATTTGTTCATTCTGTTGTGTTCTTTTAATCATTAAATGCTGTGTTTTTTATTTAAAAAATTATGGAATTGTTTCATGGAAATGCAGACTTCCCCAAGGCAGTGCTGGAATTGCAAGGCTGTGTGTTTGTGTGTATGTGCACACCCCCCTCCATGTACAGCGTGTTGCAGGAACTGGTTTATAGCCTGGCTGCTGCTCCTCTTTACATTCACACCAAGTTTTTCTTCAACTGTGAGTTTCCTTTTCCAGAACTGAATTTCTCACCAGTGAAATCTCCAAGTTCCAAGTATTACTGACAGCTAAATTCTGCTTCAGAGGGAAAGGGGTGTTCAATGACAGAACCTTCAGTTCTTCCTTGCATGCTGGCCCACAGCAACCTAAAAATGCTGAGGAATCTGGCAGCTTGAGGAGCAGGCACTGCACAGAGGCATTCCCTCATTATTCCTCTTCGGACTCTCCTATGCTGCCTCTTGGCCAACATACGTGAGGTTGGCAGTGGGGGCAAAGGGAGCAGAGAGGGAAATACCATCCCCTAGGCAGGGTACTTCATTGAACTGCCAGTTACCACAGACAGAGACTGCTACAGCATCCTTAGAGCTTTTGGAAGAGAGAAATTAATCCTGAATTTTCCTCACACTCGGGTATTTGGAAAGGCAGAAATGTAGAGATTAAATCCGGGCATGGCAGCACCAAGAACTGAAAGGAGAGTACTGTCCTTAAGAGGGCAGTATTTACAGAGAGTTACTGCTCTCGTGGATTTGTTTTTAAACAGGAAAGTAAGAGTGGCATTTAATTCCTTCTCTTTGTATAGACGGGGCTGTCTAAAGCACAGTAATTTTATTTGGGGTAGAGAGGGAGGGTAAACTCAGAGAACTCTCAGAGACGATGTCTGTGTGTGTGTGTGTGTTGGTGTGAGAATGCGTTGTAGAATCCTTAAACCAAAACTAAGATAGTTTTGAAGAATGAAATATCCTCCCTGTTTATAACGACAATGGCTATTAGTTATTAATTCTGGTACCCAGGAATTTATTGAAAAGCCTTCTTACACCAGAAGGGGGGAAAGGTGTGCAGATTGGTAGCACACTCTTACACCTGCTCTTGTTATTGGTGCTCTGCTGTTCCTAACTAGACACGAGCAATTGGGATTATTTGGGAAGAAGCACTCAGAAGTTACTTGGCTGGAACCTCACGTCTTGTTTTACCATGTGCAACAACAGATGGTGAAATCTATCAGAAAACCATTAATAGTGGAGGAGCCATGGTAGCAAACTGGTGAGACAGCTGGTAGCTGGGGAGTTTGGGGGGTCAGATTTTACTCTTAGCTTGCTATTGATTTTTTAAATCAATGACCTTTTAAGATGGTAAAAATAATCACTTCTACAGTTACTAGCAACCTAAAATGATTTATGCTTGTGCGTATTTTTTAATGAGTACAAGTACAAAGAAGTTTATTTCTGACATACAAGAGGAAAGTACAAATCCAGAAGAGCACTCCTATGGTTCCCATTTGGCAGAAGGCTGAAGGCAGGGGTTGAATGAATTCCACAGTAGCATGAATTCCACAGGGACATGCAGGTTTGGTGCACAGAGAACGCTCCTTGAAGACCTTATTTATTGCACTTCTATCCAGTAGTGTGTGTTCAGGATTCATACAAGCAAGATACTAAACAAAAAAAATCTAGAAATAACTAACTAAACTGGTGCTTTGGGCTTTATATTTCATCTCCCAAAACCAGCTCTTGAGCTGACTCAGGCTCAAGTTTCAAACCTGCTTGGTCCTCCAGGCTTTCTAATTCCCTGCGTACTTCCTGGATGACACTGCTTTCCTCATAATCAGAGAGGAGATCTTGAGGGATCAGGCTGAGAAAGGGCATCTCATCCATGACTAAGGGATCTTCTTTTTCAGTGTGCTGCGTTTCATTGGCAGACAGCTGACACACAGATGTAGTGCTGTGGCTGTTGGGAAAAGGCACATCTGGTCACACAGTACATCGATTTGTGCTCTTCTGCTACTCTGTGAAATTCTCCATTCCCTCCCCGTATGAAAACATGCTAAATGCACAACGGATCTACCCTAGCTGACTTCACAAGCACCTCATTCTTACATGCTTGACAGCTGGTGAGTTATAAATGTGATTTCCACATACAGAGATCCTAACAGCACAAAATGTTAGATCCTGGTAAACAAGAGCAGTGGCCCTCAAAATAAACAGGTAACAAAAAAGTTACTTGAATCTTCAAGTTCAGATAGAAACTTCTGGACAGTTCAGCTATGTTCACACCCCAATTAATTTCTGTGTTTATCCTCATCTGGAACATTGTTCTTACTAGACCTGATATTTGCTGACAGACCTTCCCTGAGGTTAATGGCGCATTAACAAAAATTTTGGTGCTGACAGGATGGGATCAGCTCTGCTTGCTTCCTTAGATGACATTTATGAAACAAAATGTTACCCAATTCCTTTTCACGCATGAAAAAACATAGAAAGAGTTGGACACAGAAGAGAGAAATATTAATCTGCATCTCTATCCCAGCTATGATGTCTTGTTGGAAGTTAATATGATGCTGGAAGTGTAGGAGAAAACTTGGGAGAGTTTATTTTTTAGAAAACACTGGTTTTCTAAAAATGCTTTTAGCAAAACTGAGATGATCTCACTTTCTGCAAATGAAGTTGCCGATGATACAAACAACTAATTTTAAAGAAATATTAAAAGCATGACCTATGCAAAGTTTGCATTAAAATTCGTTTAACATATCTTACATTCTAAAACAAGCAAAAATCTGACAGAAGCCCAGTCTCACATAGAGAGTTGGTGGACAGGGACTGTATGCAGAGAATGAAATTGGAATGATGCATTTCAACAGCTGGCAGCACTGATTGATTAAACAGCAGTACCAGCCTTATTAATTCACACTGGCTTAATGTGTTGCCAAACTCAATTAGGCACATCTGTGTGGGACAAAGCAAAAGGTTTCAATGCTACTGATGAGAAAAACTGTCAAAACCTTTTCTAGTGAGGCAGAATCTGCGAGTTCTGTAGCTATTTACCACAGAAACAGACCCCTCAAAAGTTCCAAGCCAGTCGTTTGCCCAGCTTTGGTCCTCACCTCTGAGGCTGGCAGCTCAAGCCACTCGCACAGGGGCACTGCTCCAGCACTCCATCGGGCTCCAGGTCCCAGGTGATGAGGTTGAGAAGTCTGTTTGAAGGATCATGGCAGGGCTCACCTTCCTCAGGTAAGGGTGTGCACACAGGAAAGAGAAGCTCTGCAGGCCAAGGGAAAGGCATTTTAGGAGAAGTCCTTAGCTGTCTGCTAAACTGGGGTGACCCCGTGTTTAATTCTGCATGCAAGATATAAAAAGGCAGGCTCGACCTCTTTTCAAGTTCCCTTACGTGATAGGGAGCCATAACCATGCTTTTTCCACTAGGTGGGAGTGAGACATTTGAAGTTCATCCTTAATGAGCAAGATCAGCTTGACTCAGAGACTGCTGTCAAGGCAGTACAGCACAGCTCCACCCCTTGGAGATTCCAAACTCTTCTAATCCCAAGAAAACTAACATTATAGAGAATCCTTTGCAATGAGTAGCACTAATGGTCTGAAATCTGAATAGAGGCATACCTCTCTATCTTAAACTCTGTTATTTTTTTTCTATTTCTTTGCAGAGGCTGCAAATACAGGGCAACTGTTCAGAAACTAATGAGATCACAAGAACCACAACTCAGATATTTAATTTATTTTATCAATTCTGTTGTGGGCAAAGCTGTCTGATGGCATCTGGGGCTCAGCACCCTCATTTCTACACAGGGCTGACTTTCAGCCTGTGTAAGAAATTATTTAAGAAGGCTGTGTCCTTTGGGTTTCCTCATGTCAGTAGCTCCCAGTCTCAGTCTGGAATTCAGCTCTTCCAAATGTTCCTAGAAAACCTCCCTTCTTCCTCTTGTCTTCAGTCACTTCATATGGCAGGACGAAATGTGAGAAGAATTCAAACTCTAGGTTTTTTAATCAGATTTGGTCAAAACCCACATATATGTGTATGCATGCACAGACACATGTGCTTTAACGTACATGACCCATCAGTTCCCAGTTTCAAAACGTTATATACTGAGCAGCAAATACTCCACACTTTGCTACAGTTTTATATAAAAATACACATCTTTATCAGAACAATCATTTGCAACTCTCTAGTGATGGAGAAAGGCCTTGAGGTTAGGCCTAACCTGAAAAACCCTAAAGCCCTGCTAAAGCAGACAGCCATAGAGAATAAAAATTCATTGCTATTAATCAACAGCACTATTTTATGTTCTAACAAGTGTATTCTATCAATATGCATCAATATTCTTACCTGAGATATATATATAAATTTTTTTCTCACTAACTATATATCTTGTTCCTTCCTAACCAAACTTACTTAGCATTGAATGTCCACTATGTAACGCTCAACATCAACATGGGGAAGCTGAGCAGATCCTCTTCACTTTTAAATGGTGCTGGAGCTTTCTCCTTCGTTTTCCTGGAATGCCCTGCAGCCTGATCCACCAGCAGGCTGAGAGTGGGACAGGCCCAGCCATCAGTACAAGGTCTGCTCTGGCTCACAGCAAGGAAAAAAGCTAGGGAAGTATGTACCTGGTGTAGGGAGCTGGCTGGAATTATGTCCTGTCACTACTAAAAGAACTGTGATAAATTAATTAAATCATAAATTAAAAATAAATAAATAAAATAAGAAAATAAATAAATAAAATTTAAAAGTGAATAAAATAAAGAAATAAAATTTAAAAATAAACAAATGAATGATTAATAAAGTAAGTAAACTTAAAGTGATAAATGCAGTGAGGAGCTGGTGGGTATAAAACAGCAGAAGAAACTGGACCCCAATCAAACAGGATTGGGGACTGATTTCAGGCCTGAGACTTGTCCTCTGTGCTCCCTCCTGTAAATCAAGTTTCCCATTCCCATGTGGACTGACAGCGTGATCTGGGACATCATTCCTCAGTGTCTCTTGGCTGCCTGGTCACCACTGCATGGTGTGATGCCCTGGAAGGCTCACATGAAACTCGGAGTGTGAAAGGTATCTGCAGCCTGATTCTGATGGGCTGCTTGCTGAGAGGAAGGAGAAGCCACTTTCAGCCAGCTCATTAATTTCTTCTGCACATTTGTAATTCTATCATTTTTGCTCAATTGTGTGTAAATTTGACACAGAACTCCCCTTTAGAAATGTGCATTTTTGTGCTTCTGCTGCTGGCCTCATCTCTATCGTGCAAGAGGCTTTGCTTTCACCAGCATGCCCCCCATCAGGCTGTTTCTCACTCCTAATTCTATCCAAGTTTTCTAAAGGAGTTAACCCGTGCATTCCACAGGCCAAGGGATAACAACCTGCTGATTCTGTAGAGATTTAACCACTTCCCTGGGCTAAGAAGAGCCAAACACCGCCGCTCCTGCGTGCTGGGATGGACAGGACACAGCCTTTCACACGTACCTTTGTGAAAAGCACAGCACGTCCCAGGGTTGCAGTCGTGCTGGGTCTCACAGATGGTGCCGTTCTCCCCTCTGGAAGAGGATCTCCTGCACTGGCCCCACACGCAGAGCTGCTCCCCACAGCACTCCACATCCCGTGAGCAGGGCTGCCAAGGGCAAAGGCACGGGATAAAACTGGCACTTTAGCACTCAGCACATGGCATCACACACAGCTGTGCTCAGAACTGGGCCCTGGGCCTGAGGACCACAGTGAGTACTTTAAATAGATGTCATATTGCCACTGTTTAAGTAAAACTGCTTAATTTCTCAACTGAAGCACACCTGAACTATTGCCAGACAGGAACCTCCACAGCAGAGTAGCAGCACTCCATCCAGCCTGGCCTTGGGCACTGCCAGGGATCCAGGGGCCTGCCCACCCTGCCAGGGAACAATTCCTGCCCAATACCCCATCCATCCCTGCTCTCTTTCAATTTACAGCCATTCCCCCTTATCTGTCCCTACATGCACCTGCAAAATGTCCCTCTCCAGCTCTCTTGTAGCCCCTTCAGGTACTGAAATGCTGCTCTAAGCTCTCCCTGGGCTCCACTCTTCTGCAGTCAAGGGAAACAAAAAATTAATAAATGAAACTTCATCAATGGAGAACATTACTGACATTTTTCCATTGTCAAATGCAGTCAGAAATTTACAATTTCTTTCAGAAGAATTGTTTTCAAAGAGCAAAGCAAAAAAAAGTCTTACTAAAATGTTTTTCAGTTGTAATAAGAACCAGACCTCATTGGTAACCAAGAATCTTTGAAAAAAATCTCTGAAAAAAATCTCTTTGTGAATTTCTAGCTAAAGGTTGCTTTGTATGACAATTGCCCAGTGTTTCAACTACACACGCCTAAGAAATCAACCTAATAAAAGCCGTGTGTGTTTCCTTTTTTAGGTAGTTTGATTAATAATCTTAAATAGTCCTAGCAGGTCAGCATTTCTGCAGCTTTTTCCTGTCTGTGTAAAGCCCCATCTGGGCAGACATACAAAACCTGTATTTCTTTTCCAGTGGATCCCACAGGAAGTGCTTAACACAGGGCAAGGAGCAGGACTACACTGGCACTACTAAGACCTGCTAATTAAAGAGAAAAATGCTCTGTAGCCGTCGAGGTTCTAGGTGGGGAATTATCCCACCTCCTTCAGCCTGAGCTCACTTTCCAACACAAGAGTAGCTAGGATCCAGTTTTTACTTTTTTTATCCTACAAGTGCTCTGCTGAGAACTGAAAAGAAAAGGTGGGGAGGGGGATAGGTGTTGGACCATCACAATCTTGATTTTTAATTACTAGCTATTAACAGGAAATTTTTTTTATCCTCATGCAGAAAGCCTTGCAGCTTCTTTTCTGCCAATTTTGACTTGCTGACATTATCAACAATAACTTCCTGAGTTTCTAAAGATCACATGAAATCCCATCTCAGTCAGGACTTACAGTGTGCTGGGGCTTGCAGAGCTGGCATTTGTATTCCAAGGTGGAGAACTGGCAATACTTCCCTGGTTCACAGTCTTCATCAATGATACACTCCTGGAGGAAAGGATAAACAGTGATTTACCAAAAAAGCTCCTCATTGATTATATTTCTTATTTGGGAACCAAGACAAAAAGCTTGCTGGGGTTCTTTGTTCAGTCACAGCTCTGTAACAGACCAGTGCCCTCTCCCTGGCTTATCTAAACCCTCTGGCCTCAAATTGCTGGGTGCCTTCACTTCCTGAGCCCCTGGCAGTGAGGAGAACACAGAGAGTGAGAGTGATATATTTTTGCATCCTCATGTCTGGTTCACAGGGATGGGGTGTTTTCCCATCTAATGGTTACCTCTCAAAAACTGTATGATTAACCCTCTTCTTTTTTTTTTTTTTTTTTTTTCCTCCAGGCTGGAAACAATTTAGTCAACAAAAGAATAACTCACAGCACTGTTCTGAGTCACCTGTTTGTGACCTGTCCAGCACTGGTTTGTACCACCCTTAGTGAAAAGGAAAAAGGAAAAAAAGGAAAAGGGATTACACAAAAATCCCTGAATTCTCTGAAGTAAGCACTTGACTGCTCTTTGGCAGACACTAATCTCACTTGCTGGAGCAAATCATCTGTGCAAGCTCTACTGAAAGCTCCCACTAAGCTTCTCCTTTTCTTCAGGTCTCTTCCAGATCCAGCCTTTTGGGGAGTTCTTGCCCTGCGTGAGGCAAGGCTGCTCTGCAGGAATCAGCCTTGTCTAAGTTACCCATTCTGGCCACCTCAGATGTTTTCCAACAGTTTACTATGTTCATTTATGTGCAAATTCACAGAATCACTGGGTTGGAAGAGACCTTCAAGATCATCGAGTCCAACCCAGCCCCGACACCTCAACTAAACCCTGGCACCCAGTGCCACATCCAATCTCTTTTTAATGGTGACTGCACCACCTCCCTGGGCAGCCTTTCCAGAGCTTTATCACCCTTTCTGTAAAAACTTTCTCCTAATATCCAACCTATATTTCCCTTGACACAACTTGAGACTGCTTGATTACTCAGAACACAGAACAGAAGCTAAACACACTCTGAGGCCTGACTCTTTTCCAGTCCACAACTCGACATTCAGGTTATGTGTTTATAATTCAGAAGGAGTCATTTTAGCTCTTTGAAGGAATTAGTATAACCAGGCCTAGGCTGTTATAAATTATTGCAATGTTTTTCTACTTCATTATCCCAGTACTGTGTGTGGGTTTGTTTTTTTTATTTTTTACTTTTCTGTTGCTACATAATCAGGTGGAGCAAAATGCAAATATCCAAATGTTATGCAGTATGTTGGAGGTTTTGTGGCTCCAAGTGAGCAGCCAGCCTCCTCTCTTCAGCAGCCATGCTCTTCTAGGCCAACTTTGTGTTGTTGCTTTGTCAGCTGCTTTTATGAACGCCCTGTATAAACCATACCCAGAACAGACTGTTTCACTCCTGTTCCATCCCCTTTCAGGCAAACAACCAGGTCTCACTGTAGTCAGGTTTTCCAACTGTCCTTCTCCACAAAGGAGAAACCTTGCCATGATTGCTCTAAGCCCACGGAATAATTCTAGCTCTAAAACCACCTAACACCAAAGCTGCAATTCTCCAGTTGCTGCTTTCTCCTGAATTAATGAGTCCCACACCAAAAAACTTTTTCCTCTTACTGAACTGTGTCCCATCAGCTCAGACATTCAGTTTTATGAGAGTTTCCAGTCAGGGAAAAAAATCCCTTTGTGGTTTTCTTTCCTGGCATGGCAAAGGCACTTCATATGTGCTCTGTGAAATTGTGTGCCACACTCCACACAATTTACCCCACCCAGACACCCACAGTTAATGCAGAGCTCAGTTGTGCTTACATGCAGATGTGTGACCATATACTCTTTTAATTATTTATTTTTCCTTACTTAATCAGGCAACAGACCTTTTCTGATTCAGCTGCCTTTAGATAGAATAGCTGCTGGACAAGGAGCAAATCTGAGCACCTTCATCGGCTGCAGCAGATTCTGAACAATCCATTTTTTCCTGGAATTGCAAAACTAAATTATCTCTCAGAATATTCTGTCATTGCAGGAGCAACTGGGTAAACTGAGGAGAGGGAGTGCTGGCTTCTGATGTGCAGCAGGACATACAAGTTGGGCAGATAACTTACAGACAGAATTAGGCACACTGATAATGGTGTACATCTCTCTGAAATCCAGTTTGGTGTACTAACAGTTAATGCTGTGGCAAAGGAATAGGCTGTTTGGGAGTAATACAGAGTGAAAGCAGCACTGCCTATTTATTAATGGGTGCACTGGGACCCATCAACAACAGAGGCCAGGATGGAGAATCCCATGCCATGTACCTGTAAGGACACACTCAGCATCCTGTGGATTCTTATTATAATATTGTTCTCTGCAGTGAATATCCTGCAGCACCTGGAAGCTATTTGGGCATTAGGATCTGTTCCAAAATCAACAGGGGAAAAAAAACCCACAAAAAACCCCAAAACAACAAAACAAAAAAAAAACCAGCAAAAAAATGAAAATCATGGAAAAGGTTCCTAAGTCTTCTGAAACAATTGCTGCTGAAAGAAACTTCTGGTTTCTTGTCTTTGGTAGATCATGTCAAAGATTATTTCCTTCCTAAAGAAAGGTCAGTGTCCATTTTATTTGAAAATAAAGCAGTGAGTGATGTTGGTGATAGCTGAACGTGGCAGACACTGAAACTGGGGCAGGTCTGACTGTGCAGGTCAGAGCTGCTGGGACAAGCTTTGACAGGAGCACTTTCCCCCAGGCCTTTGCACACACGTGGAAAGGCACAAAAGAACATAATTTTCTCTGTGTGATGTGCCAGCCTGCAGCACTGGGCTGGAAGGTGCTGCAGGCAGTTCTGCAGACTGGGCTGGCTGCTGGACTGCATCCACCCCACCCGGGGGCATCACATCGCCCTCTGCCCACAGCAAGGAGGATCAACAGCGACAAGCCAAGAACTGCCCATTTCAAGGCATGCAAGCAGAACACCAAGGCCAGAGTTAACCAGCTTTCATACAGAAACCCACTGTCTTTGGCAGTGTTCATCTGGTTTCTGTGCCTCACTGTGGCAGTACTTTTAATGCTGTTTTGCTGGTGATACGATATGTACTGAAATAACACTCATTTTGCTTTGATCTTTTTCCCCTTAATCCTTAATTAAAACCCTAACTGTAGACTAAAAAATATTCTGATGATGTCTAACCTTCAAAATAGACTCATTGATTTTATATTCACAACTGGCATTCGATTTGTCCATTCCCTCTCCCCACTCACACTCGCCCTGCCTCCACATGCTCAGAAAGCTCTTCTTCAAAGATAACTTTAAACAAAACTCTTCACTATTCATTTCTTCAGCTAATATTTGTCAGGGACTGTCTTGAGTGAGACTTTCTCTCCTGGGATCTTGACTCTTCAGTTTAGAACCCAAGAAAGCAGAGGAAGGCATGACCATGACTTAATATACAACGTTTCTGTGGTTCTCTGGCACGGGAACAGTGAGAATCAAGCAAGAGAACCCCTTTTCCCCTCACTGTGCAATCTACATGGCTCAGTTTGCTGGCTTATTGTGATTCAGGTAAAGTTTGTGCCTATAAACTTCTGCAGGAGCTGAGGGGAGAGGCAGGATTGTTTTCTGCACAGCTGGTAAGCCAAAACAACCCTTCCAAAGCGTTCATTCCCAACCCTCCATGCATTTCAGGTTCCCGAGCCATGAAGTGTAGAGGCAACCATCAATGATTTTGGAGAGCTGAAGAAGTTCTGCCAGCAGAAACACAGCACAGGAAGCAATGCCACTAGAGCAATTGTGGCAATTAGAAAATGAGTTTTAGTAACAACCTTGGAAACGCATGGGAGCACCTCTCACCGTATTTCAGGACAACTGTCCTCCAAAAGCTTCTCTGAACAAAAGCCCCTTTACATGTTTGTTAAACATATAAATACGAAGCAATTCCCTTTTCAAAAACCTGTAACTCAGGTAAAACTGAGTGTTAGCCTCCATAAACCACAGCTACAGATCCTTCCCAAACATGCCAGAGCTCACCCAGCTGCACCCGTGAGCCAGCAACAATTCCAGCTGTGGCTGCAGTGCCATGTTCACAGTGGAATTGACATCTCTCAGCAGTGAGTCCTTCTAAGAGTTAACATTTCTGTGTTTACAAATCCCCTTCCAGGTTTTGTTTCAATTTCTGCAAGTTGTTTCACGCAGGGCTGCTCTCCATTACTGCAGCAGATGGCAAAAAACTGCTGAGTAGTAAGGAAAAAAAAGAAGCATAAAACCTGTTTTATATCCTACATGTATTTAAAAAAAGGCAGAATTATACAGAATAGAATATTGTCTTATGGAAATTACTACCTTAATTTGAAATGCAGTAGCATTCCAGTTCCTAATCTCTCAGTTGTCTAGACAGGGCACGTAATGCATTTGTCTTTAATGAGATATGGATTCATTTGCCTTGAAATACCTCAAAACCTCTGTAATACTTTCCAGCAGTGCAAGTCTCTCACTGCTGTCCTGCCAAGCACACAACACTCATAAAATTAGGAACTTCTGTTAAAAAACAGACGTCCTAAAAAGAGCAGACATGAGCTGCGAGCTGTGTTGGGGGTCAGTGCTATGGGGAAAGCCAGCTCTTTGGGTGGCTGCTCAACAGCAATGTGACTGCTGAGCTCAAAACCAATAAACAACAGAAAACAAGTCCCTAGGCTTTGTCTTGAACTTCCCCATAGAGCTAATCTCATCTGATTCCTTCTCTCCCATTTCCCAGAAACATCTTATTTGGAAAAACTTCATTGCTGGTTCTCCACATGACACAATATAAATGGAGGCAAAATATGTCTACATGACATAACTGAAAGTGGCCTGAAGGCACTTGAGCTCGGCTTGAGGTGCCCAAAGCAACAGAGCCACGTTAGCCTTAACATGCTGACAAAAAAAGAATTATTGAGGCAGGCTGTGATCCCCAATAAACTGCTCACCACCAGTGTAAGAACTGCATCCCTTTCTACACCACCGGCTTATTCCCACCACACAAACAGTGATCTTG